CACGACAGCTATACAGATATCTTACACTCTGAAGATCTCGACAACCTTCTTGCACGCACGCTAGTTCTCAACCGAATCCTCCAGATTCTTCTAACATCTGGCAGCAGTCTTTTGTCTCTACCAAGTCTGGACGCCCTCTAACGCTTACACACACATTCACATGTACAGTTGTAAATGTATCATCTACCCAACAATATCGTCACGTTAGGCCAAATATCGATATAAATCTTTTATCGATATAAATCTTCATTTCGTGCATAACGTGGCACGATTGCCGATTGTTTCGTTCTTATTACCTGGTTAACACGATTGGTAAATCGACAGGAACTATACCGAGCCCGGAGGACCTTCTGCAGTTCGCCGACGACGCGAAATGTTACTGCCAGTTCGATCTTTTCGGAAGCGAATGTTCCTTTTACCAGCTAAATCCATCGGTGGATATGATTTCCGACGCGCAACGAATCGATCGTGTGAAATATTTTCGGAATGACCAGAAGCTGGATCGTGTACTCTTGAGTCACGACATTCACACGAAACACAGATTGGTACGTACTTAGACACTGTACCGAATGAATCACGAGACTGCGGACGTTTGTACAATTTCGCGTTCTTATAAATGGAACTGAAGCCGAATATGATAATCGGTACGCTTTGGATATTTTATGTATCGTGTATTTTATATGCTGTACGCCCCGTTGCTTAGGCTGACCCTCTTGCGTTCGTGTAAGGAGGTTTGCCCGCGTGCAGGCACATTTTGGCCGATCTTTAATCGTCAATAATTAAAAAACAAAGCCGAAAACGCAATTTTTTTACTCTTGATTTTCATCTTATTTCGGCTTCGAGAATCATCCTTTAAATTTTCTGACACCTACGATCGAAGACCCTGTATATTCACGTAATAGAATCTCGAATTCCAATTTAAATCTTATCCGATCGATCTTTAAATGTCTTGTTATATATATATTTACGAATTATGTGCGTTTTGTAGATGGACGCACCTTTAAATTTCCAAACGATGCACGAACGTCCGCGGTCTATTTATTAACGATATGATGAAACAAAAGAAATACGAAAAAAACCCATCTCGACTGTTCTAACGAAATTCTTTCATTTTTAAACGAAGATGGAGTTTGGCGGACACGGATTTTCTCATATTTTGAACAACGTCGTGCCAAAAATGACGCTGAAGGGTTTCACTTCCGAAGAAATCGACACGCTGACTATTCACAATCCAAGAACTTGGCTGACCTCTTGAAGCCTTCCAGCGAGAGGTATCGCGAAATCGGAATCAAGGCGAAAGAATATTTGTATATTTCTAAAAAATTATATTTCAAATAAACTTCATGTTGCACATACGAGTTTGCGATAAGACCGATTTCTTATTAAAACGGTTTTAATCAGAGTTTACAAAACGGTTCAACGTTTAAACAGCTTGCATATCGGCGATCTCGATTTCCAGTATGAATCTGAAAATAGATAGAGTTTCTCTGAATTAACAGCGCGATTTGTCAAGTAACGAAACGATAGCCTGTTTGAAAAATATATCGACGAAAATACAACGAAGATACGTGCGAGAAAACGCCGATATCGCGATCTTCTTCGAGTACGTATCTGCAAGCGCACTTGCGTACCAGAAGCAGATTAAACGTTATCAGCCGCTTAGCGATACGGACCATGGATGACATCGAAGCTACGTTAACGTCGCAGTATTATATGTAGTTTAAATATAAATGAGTCGACTTATCCGTGGCAGCGTAGAATCGACGCTGTTCCGAAGCGTCTCGATAAAATCGGCGTGGGCAGCTCGTCCGGCGACAACTGTGCGGTTACTGTCGTACCTTTCGCTAGTAACGTGTCCCACAATTTTTCACGCGACGACTCGAAGTTGTAATTTGTTCGACAACGATGGAACTACGAAAGAACGATGGAACGCACGAAGATCGCGTAAGGAAAGCGCGATAAACCTTGTTTCTCAATTTTCGTTCTTCGCACCTTCGCGTTTCTTACTAAGAGGCGATATTTCGATTTAGAGTTGCGCCAGCCACTTTGTTGTGAAGATCAGCTGTACGAATCTTTTTATTCGCCATTTATTCTCTCGCATTCTTGTCGAGGAAAGAAGGAAGCTAAACGAATACGAAATACGATGTTGTAGCAATTACCGAACACACCTGTTGTATCACCTCCTGTAGACACCTGTGTATTATCATCGAAATAAGAAGCTTATTATTATATGGACATTTTGTAAGAGAAGAGGTCTGTTGACGAAGAGACGCGGTGGCGAGGAAGCGCGTCAACGGGAGTCGTAAGTTCCCGTTACGATTAGATAATCGATGCGACGAAATGATCGGTCTCCTATATTGTTTAGGATAATAGAGGTGATTGAACCGATTATAACACTGAAGCAACAGGTTACAATATACACATTGTTCCAACAACTTTGTAAACATAGATAGTTGTGTTTACTTAAAAGTTACTTCAGTAACTAAGAGTAACAAAAATATTAAGTAAGTAAGAAAGATTGCTTGAGTTAAATAGATGACTGATCCAGGGCTGACAAAGCAGTCAAGACATTGGCCAGCCAACGTATGGAAAATTAGTAAAGAGATGTTGACCGATCTAAGGATGACAAATCGGTGAAGTTCGGCAACGATGCTATCGCAGAGGAAAACTACTGCTAGGTATTGGTCGCTTGCGAATGGAAATGACCGTCGAATATGGGAAAAATTCGACCTTGCCAGTTTTTATCTGGTAGGACGATAATCATAAGGAACGCGTCGATCGAGGGATGGATTTTAGTTTACGTAAGGAGTCACCGGACGTAACAAGGTCCGAGCGTTGGAAACGAAGGGAAACCGAGTGTTTACGAGCACAGGAAAAGGCGATAGCGTGGTCGAACACGATAGATTATAAATCGGGAGGCAAGAGACGTCGTGTGTCGACCCCTTCAGCCACCGAGATCGAGCTTCTCGCTTTCTTTCGTTTGTCAGTTTACCAGCCAAGCTAAATACAATCGTCGGTGGGACCATCGGTCGTGTTTTCGTCGATCTGCAACGAGATACACAACCGTGAAGAGGAGATGAGCACACGGAAGCCGAGGAGAGACTCGGACATTCTGCTGTCCAATTTCGCCCACAAAGAGCTGCTCTTCAAGTTCCTCGTAATCGGTGACTATGGTGTCGGTACGTCGAACACGTTTTAAAATTCCTTTTTGAAAAATCCGCCGTCGTTATCCACTCGTTAGTATCGTCGTAGTTTTATCGTAGTTTTGTTCAAACTTGTCGCGATAATACGCGCATTTTGACAGAGACGGTCGACCCTCCGTTTCGTAGGTTCTCGCGTCCTGGAAATTTGGTTGTTCAATCGTCGTGGTACGTACGATGGTGCTCGTTTTGCGACTGATACAATTTTGTACGTAAATTCAAACGATCCACCGTCCCATGTTCGTGTCCATGACGTTCGGTGTTTCGAGCTCGGCGTAACTCGCATAATCCGATTAACGAGAAAAGCGAGTGGATAATAGCGAGAGTAGGTAAGAAATTATCGATAAGAATTACTTCTCGCGTGCTTCGTTCTTTCTGCTCGTCGAGACAGCCGAAAGTATTTCTGGAATAATGTTGCTATCTGTTAAGCCGGATTTACGATTCCGACCAACGATTTATTGTTTATGCGAGTAACGATAGCGAGTATATGCGGCAGTAACGGATGTGTATCGTTCTCGATCAGCAGACACTTTGACTAGAACGTTGTTTCGAAGCGAGCGAAACGCGTCAACGTAAAAGTACTTCGTCTCCTCCGCATTTCTATTTTCTGCTTAACAGCGGATTACGCAGAAATACGTTCGTTTTATATAAAATTCTCACGTGTATATTCCGACATGTAATTTGAAAATGCTTTATAATGCGATTTAGAGAAGTGCGCAGAAAATTGTTACTACTGGGAAAAATGTTTGATATTCATGAAAAAAACAAAAGAAAAAAAAAGAGATACTTTTGTGCGATCAGTACGAAACGTATCGAGGCGTTTTAATACATTCGATGTTAAACGCCAGTGTTTCGTAGACGTTGCAGACTATTTCTTCGGGTCTGTCAGAACTGCGATGTCTAGGAAACGTCGGCGCAAAATGCAACGTACACGATTGCTGCTGAAAAAACAGTAACGCGAGATTTTATGGTGGAAATTTGAAATTAAAAATGTTTGAAAATGTTGGAATTTTATGTCATTGTTGTTCCTTGGAAACCTGTACTCTTGTAATCTCGCTAGATTAGAATTGAAAGCAAAAAGAAACTTAACGTAAACCTCAAGTTGAATACGACTTGAATACGACTTGAATACGACTTGAATTCAACTTGAACTCAACTTGAACTTTAAGTATAAATAAGCGTGATAAATTTATCTGAGACCTACTTTCTCTGACATATCGTACACAACCTCTAAGAATATTCTAATTCTATCAAAATTCTCAAATTGTAATTTTCCTAGAATTTACTTTTATTCCTTCGATGATCCTTATTTTTTACTTCAAAATTTATTATTGTTTTTCAGGAAAGACGGCATTGGTTAGAAGATACACAGAGGGTAATATAAACATTAGTACATACATTATCGCGTAAAATCCGATTACAGAGAAAATTGTGTGCGGCTTGCGATTTTCTCTTTTCTCAAATTAAAGGAAACTTTCTTTAAAAACGAGTCAAATGCACATTGTGGGTTCAAGGAGTTCGCTTTACAGAAATTTCGATTTAAAGAAACTACGAATTTGTTCGGTCCACGAACGTTTGAAAATGAAATCGTAGGATAGCGATAATTACAAAATTTATTGAAATTGTTTTAAAATTTACCAAACGATCTTTGTATATTCGGTGAATTTGATGTAAAATTATACAAGTGAAAATCTAATTATCAAAGTCTGTGTGTATCAAAGTTATTTTTCGTGCTCTTAATTCGCGCCAGTTAAGCTTCCACATTCCGTGGCTCTTCTTCTCGTGCTTCTTTGATTCTTCTTCGAATTAATTGCAGAAGAAATATAAAAGAACAATGGGATATGCTCCGTAACGTGTGAAGGTTAACGATGATGTTCGTTATCTTCTCATTATTCTCTCGTATCTCTGTAAATAAGCGTAAATAACGTTCTCATTGAAGTATTCGTTATTTTTAACAAGAAAGAAACGTGTTCCTCTTTAACCGATAATATTGTGAATTGTGCATAAGCTTCGTTATAAGTAATTAGTTGGTTATTAACGATCGAGAATAACGTTGCTCGTTATTATGAAATATCTTCGATTTCCTCTGCTTCGCCTTAATACGTAGATTTGTACGTCAGTATTCTTCAATGATTGATCGATGTTTCTCTTTTTTGCAGGAAGGTTTACGTCCAATTATAAGATTACCATAGGCGCTGATTTCGCAATAAAGGCAGTCGACTGGGACCGATTTACTAAAATTAACTTACAATTATGGTATTGCTTTATCAGTTTGTTTGCCTGCTGGTTATTCCGCGTGAAACCGTGTAGCATAAAACACACGAGAAACATATATTCGTTGATCGAAGTTAAATCATCGAGTATCAGAATTAGTCCTTTTACGATTCGATCTTTTCCTCGTTCGAGAAAGAAAATTAGTTTTTTTATTAATTATTACTAATATAAATTGCTATATATTTTTTAATAATTTTGTAAAGAAGATGTTAATTCGGTGGAATCGTCGAAACCATATAGCATGAAAACACACGAGAAACATACAGGGTGGTTGGTAACTGGTGGTACAAGCGGAAAGGGGGTGAAAAAATAAGTCGAAAATATAGAATAAAAATTTTTCGTTCGAGGCTTCGTTTTCGAGAAAATCGACTTTGAATTTTCGGTCGGTACGCGTGCGCTTTATCGCGTCTCGTTATAACGGATCTCACTGTAGATCGTTGTCTCTATGGAAAAATTAAAAAGAAAAAATTCCGCTTGTACCACCAGTTACCAACCACCCTGTATATTCGACGTTTCGAATTTAAATTAATCGAAGTTAAATCATCGTGTATCAGAATTAGTCCTTTTACGATTCAATTCTTTTCTCGTCCGACAAAGGAAATTAGTTTTCTATTAATTATTACTAACATAAATTGCTATATATTTTTTAATATATTTAATATATATAATATAAATTTGCAAAGAAGATACGTTGTACTACAAGTCGAGACCAATTTTACGTATATTTATCGTTAATTAGTAACTTGTAAAAATACAACGACGTTTTCTGATCGTTTGTTAATCGAAAGAAAATCGAGGGAAAGAAATACGACGAATTTCGAAAGATCGGTATTTAAAAACGAGCTTTCCGACCGAGTAATCGAGAGAGATGAAATTCTACAGATAAATATAATTACTATCTCGATACGGAAAATATATTCTTATCATCGTTGATTTCTATTTCTAGGGATGTCGCTGGCCACGAAAGGTTCGGATACATGACCAGAGTTTATTACAAATACGCGTAAGTAATTACTGTAATTATTGAAAATTACAAGCAACGCGTAATTCGCTAACAAAATTATTCATCGGAAGTGCAACGATAATTTCTTTTCATACTATGTTTATAGCTATAAATCCGTGCGATAAAGTCACACGGATAAAATTATTTTAAAAAACCATAAACCATAACAACGTCTAGTTCGGAACGTAGTTCGGAAGAAGAGAAAAATTGAATTAAATTTTGTCGCAGCATTTGATGATTTATTTTTAAACATTGATCCGATTAGGTTATACGGGCTATTTTTAGACCGATAAAATCCTACGATAATACTACGATAATTTTGCGTTTAATTTTCAGCGTAGCTGCAGCTTTGGTGTTCGATATTTCGCGGATAGCCACGTTTCAGTCGATCAAAAAATGGTTGTGCGACCTACGGGAAAAGGTCACGCTCCCAGATGGTTCGGAGATACCAGTCGTCCTATTGGCGAACAAATGTGATATTTCTTGTCCGTCGGTACCAATCGAACAAATTGCCAGGTTCTGCAAAGAGAACAACATTGGTGCCTGGTATGTAACGTCTGCCAAAGAAAATACGAATATCGGTAAGTATGCGACGAATTCTGAATTTCTATTTATTCGTGAAACATTTGAAAGTGCAAGATCTCGCGAGACGTTCAAAGATACCCGAAGCATCTGCTGATACACGAAGTATGCTCGTTAATTGGTAGTCGAGAATAAACCTCTGTTTCGTTCCATAGACACTCGGTCAATTCCATTTCCGCTTACTTTATTTCACTTTTGTATTTTACGGAAATAGGAAACCGCGTGAACAACCGCGGTTTCATAATTAAACGAAGACGCGACGTTTTCGCGGTTTCGTATCGGGCGATCATTAAATAAATCGGCAATTGCTCGTTGCTTCGTTGCTGTACGATTGAAGCAAATTATAAAGGCAATTAGAAAGGTGAATCAGCGTGGCAGAGACAGGGAACGAGGGAGAAAAAGACTGACTGAGGGAATTGGAAAAGAGAGGTTAGAATCTAGACGAGGTTAGGTAAAGATCGATGATTTGTAAGATTGATGATTGCGAAGATGCAAAGGATGATGGACACGTGTAATAGTTGAGAATCAGATGGTAGACGATAGATACGTGGTAGTAAAATAATGGTAAAATTAGGCGATGCGAGCGAGCGAATGGACGTGTGTGGGTGTTCGTGGGATGTTCAAGCGAGAGTGGCGAGGCGAATAGGGAGAACAATTGTAAACGGAATTCCTGTCGTGGCAAGCAGGCTAAAAATAAATTGTACTGCTTAACGATTACTATTTAACAATTGCCATGTTGCTCGTCGTGATATAAATTGCTAAAGCATAGGTAGAGGAAATTTGGTAAGAGGAAATTCTCGTTTGATGATAATACTAATATTTTACTAGCCTAATTTCGTATCTGTGTTTTAGATGTGGCGATGCGTTATCTCGTGGAGAACGTGCTGAAGACCAGAATCGACGTTGATATTCGTGATTCCGTACGATTACGAGATAAATCTGGCATTCGACAAAGGAGCGAATGTTGCAAATTATAATCGCGCGACTATAGTTCGCGTGTTTATCTATACGATTTTAATTTATCCGCGATGCGTATACTTTAATACGTTTATAACGATTAATCGTAATCTGTAGGAGCACGTCAATGGACGTTGACATGTTACAGATGCGCCTAACAATCCGAAAATTTTAATATGCTACAGCGAAATTAAACATGTTTGTTTGAAAATACACGCACGATGAATTTCTAGGGCGACAGAGTTTTTATCTCGGCTAATAACTAACAAGTGAATAATCCTCAAGAGATTACCAATTTTTTACACGTCGGATAATAGTCTTATTTGCATTTTTTACGTGTCGGATAATAGTCTTATTTGTATTGTTTACATGGCGGATAATAATCTTATGTACAACGATGCGAACGTTTGTAAATTGCGGAGAGAAATTACGAATATTTATTTTAGAATGCACGATAAATTTTTAAGGCAGTAGGATCTTCGTTTCGTTTAACATAACTATCGAGCGGATAATTTTATACGGCTCAACTTTTTATATTTCTTCGTATTTATCGTTACATCTGTTGTTAGATAATAATCGCGTATTTTATAAAAATCTGAAACAAACAGTTTTATTTAAGCGTTTCTATGTACGAGATCACACGTCAATGGGTAAAAACAACGAGGAATCGTTTAAATCGATAGATTTATTTGATTTGTACTTTGATAACTCTTCAACATTATTTGCGTTCGTAAATCAACCAAGGGAAATATTATAAATAAATATGAAGCGAATTCGTAACATCGCGAGTTACGAAATGTCTTTAAAATTCGCTATTACATTCTTATCGTATTTTTACATTGTGGTAACAAGAATTAACACGTAACTTCTATGTACAAACATATTCACGTGTTACCTTTGGTAAATATTCAACACTCGTTTCAGTGTGCTACAAAATTAAATATACTTGGTATTCCTTTGCCAAGTTTTACAATATGCAATTTGTCGGTCGACAAATAACGTATCATTTATTATACGATATTGGCCACGTTTTGCTATTATCTAATCTAAATAAATCTAACAACAGCTCTGCTGTGTGTCTTTAGTTTTCCTCTATTCTCTTAGAACTCTGAATAATTACGTATACCGTTCGCAGATCTCTATTTACATTCTCTTCTCTCTCAACGACCATTTTCTTTCTTTCTTCTTCCTCTATAGTTTACTTATATACTTAATCGTAGTAGATACAAGTGTTTCATAGCATTTCAGACGCGAAATTCATTTTAGTCATGGACAAAGATCGCAATTACAATATCGTACAAACGTGTGCAATGTTCGACTTTGCTTTCGACTCGTAGCTTTGTTCTTCGATAAAAACGAGCTACCATTCGATCATTCGACTAGTCTCTATAAGATCTGCTCGAAATATTTATCTTTGTTTTTTAAATTCAGACTTATGTTACGCACTGAGTATACTTCCTCGTTGTTTTTGATCAGCAAGTTAATCGAGTTCCTACTGTATGTGTTTCCATGAATCTTCTCTATCGTTTCTATGCTTTTCCATCTGCCATCGAAATGGATAATAAAAATTCCTATTACAAAACACTCGGAATACTGACATTTTGTCCTCAAGGGTCGATTAATATTCTTTATACGTTTCGCCTTCTCTGGCCAGTTCGATCGCAGAATCAAGCTTATTCCTCGAAACGCGAGTTTCTCACTGGATTCATAGCAATGGAGACCGTCGACACCATCGTCTTACTGAAGTCCTTCGAATAATCTGAAAAAAGAAACATGGTACGAATGCGGATCAATTCGTAATGCTGGTTCTCTTTCGAACGCGTGTTTCGACAAACGATGTTGTGTCGTCTAGCGGCAAGCAGAAAGCTGTTAATGAAGATCAGAGGGAAAATGAATCGCGAGTGTCGTTAGTTCGCTGTAGTTTCTACTCTGCTGTTAGAGGTTAGGTGCGAAGAGGTTAGGTTTAGGACAGAAATGTTAACAAGCTACTAAGATATTTGCTGAATCTACGGAATTAATTGGCGAGAAAACAAACGAGAGGCTGGTGCTAGATGGCGCGTGCAAAACCTTTTATTTCTACGTAAATTCGAGACAGTTGTTGATCTTCCACATTTCCATACTTCATCTAGCGATTATTGTGAAATTATATCGTAGTTTTACGTAAGTTACTTATACGAGTCTACTTATACAAGCTGTTAGTTGATATTGTCCAAAATAACAGGTCATCGCAAGATATAAAGATGATATTGGGATTTGTAGCGGCGCAGGAGTCAAAGGACGACGCGAATCGAGACCGACTCGTGTTGTTGTTTTGCCTCGGGACATTGACACAGCCTTGACGCATGAAACGTAATGACAAATAAACTCCGGAAAGAACAATGTCGACGCTACGTGCAACCGTCGAATGATGACGAATTCAAATTTTCCGATTTCCCCGACCAGTATAAATAAACAGACGCGATCGCGAGAACAGTATCTAACAGTATCTATTAGTTAACAACCAGTTATCAGTTATCAGTTAACAGTATATAGCGACATTTTTTCTCCTGTTAATATTTAGCGGTCATAGGAGACGAAGATGAGATGACAAAGATGAGAAAATACGAGATGAAAAATGAAAGACGTGTGCATGCACGCGTGACCAATTGCGATCTTAGAAAGCAGCGAATTTGTGCCCTTGACTTACGAAGTGAGCGAAGTGTGGTCGCTTAGCTCGCGTTCGGTCAGAGCTTGGTGAGCGTTACCACGCGACGGTGCTCGAAGTTACCTTGGCCGTAGTCCTGCTGTTGATGATGACCAGGTGCGCTGCTCCCATAGGGTGACAGACTCGCCCTTATCCGCGAACATCCTATCACGCCAGCGTACGCTTGTCTGTATTGTTTGTTCATGATCACGTAAATGATCGGGTTCACGCAGGAGGCAAAGTAGAGGAGCAGGTAGCCCAAAATGTGAAATTCTGTGACAAGAAACAGCATGTAACATACGATGCTTTACTTTGTTGTTGTTGTTGCCAGGTGAAAAAAAAAACAAAAACAAATTCGAGATCGTTGTAATTAAATCGTCTTGTAATAAGCTCGAAACAATCCACGAACTACAGACAGTTTGTATAGAGCTTATCCCTCGGACTAATCCCAAAATATTGCGTTTGGTTGTTCCAGAGGTGTCTTTTGCAACAATTTTGCGTCTTTGTACAAACGTGAAACCTAATTTCCTGTCAAACGTTGCGCTCTTTATCTTAATACGACAAAATGGATCGTGTATAATTCAATAAAATAATGTAAAAGAAACGTTACGTCGCGTAACACTCTACCTAGACCAGGCCACACATCGACACCAGATGTCTTCCGATACTTACTGCGTACCTTCAATAGTCTCAAGTGCCCTCCACGAATCTCAGGAATTCCTAGTCGAGGTCCTTCAAACCGAACAAACATCTGTTTTCCGAATCATTTCTAAGACCATTGTCTACTACGGCTTGACGAGGGAAAGTTAGTTTTTCTAACGTACGATGCAACTTTCCTCCTACTAACTATACCTCCTACTTTCTATCGAGGGCGGCTTCCTAGTCCATCAACCTTCGTTTAACCAATTAACAACGAAGCCTATTTCCCTTACTCTCTTAGCCAAAATCGTCACCAACAAATCCGATGGTCCCGTGCGCTAGACACATCCTTAGCTTTCCTCCACCACAGCATCGTCTCCGAACATCACTGATTTTCCATCCTTCGTACAGTCAACATTCTTTGACCGGGAATACATCCGTAGATCAGTCACTCACTCATCTTATACATACGCACCAGCGTAACTGTCTTCTTTACAAGTTGTTAGAATAAACGGTGATATATAACTTACTATACAGTGTTACATTCATTGAACCACCTCTGTTATCTTAACAGGTGAACGACTATTTCGCGGCGTCGATTAACCGAATCGTAACGAGAATTTACGCCTCTCGCTGACGCGTTTTCCTAGCGACCGCGTCAAGAAATATAATATCCGATGTTTGTTCCGATTTTGAAACAACTTGACGAAACAATAAATTTTGCTTAGTACCTCTCCATCGGGTAAATTGTTTCCAAGCTGAGAAACGTTGCCAGAAGTATCTTTAAATAGGCTCGTTGATTTTTAATCAAATATTCAGATATTTGTTGAAATCATACAGAATGAGAAATTCCTTGCGTCGTAGCAGGCAATCGAAGAATAAGTCTGCTTGATTGTCGTGATAAAGGCACGTGTTCGATAGAGTGAGAGGACACCATACAGTTGCCCAAGTTTAAGGAACGATGGCTATCGATTTTATTATTTTTCATATCGTAAAGGTAGAACAATTTTACTAATGGCTCTACGCTGGTCTAAAGGTTTTATATTAATGCACAGTCGTTGGTACTTTAATGTATTGATGGTAAATAGGTAGATTCATGAGACGTATTACCTGGATATCTAACTTCGGCGTCGGAGACTTTAACGATGGTAATTGGAAGGTAACAGGCGACGAAACTGAGGAAAATGGCTAGTACCATTTTTGTGATTCGCCATTCGCTACGCCTCTGTTTGATCTCTCTGGTATCCCTGCCGGGTGTATGCGGCGATTTTATCGTCGGAGACGCGTGCTTTCGCATTCTTGTTTCGGATCTACGAACCAGGAGAGACATTTCAACGTACATCTCTATATATTTCGTGAAATATATCTCGAGCATTTGCGACGCGAATCGAAGCATCGAGAACGTATGGGATATTTTTGAAAATACTCTCTTAATTTATAAATACAGAAGCAAATAAGTTGTTCACCTGTGTACGACCCAGAATATCTTAGTGTAACATCCAACGATTATTACGCAGGGTATCACGAAACCCACCACGAAAAGAAAGGTTTTCGATGAGTAGCCTTTGCTGTCCTTTACGATGGAGCAAGTTTCTAAATTCGGATCGTAGTCGATTCTACCTGAAACGTAAAAGAGCGAATAACAGAAAATAAAATTCTGCCGCTTTTCAAGTTGGCGTGAACCGCGATGCATTTATGTCTTACCCCAAATTCCTAAGAGAGTGGGCACCTGCATCCCATAGGAGAACAACCAACAGAATACGATCATAAAAGCGATCCAATATTTCTTGTAAACTTTGCTGTACAATCCGTGGTGGGCTATCATGATGTATCTAAAATTATCGTAATATCGTAATTACTAATTATAATGATATCGTAATTGATCTTGCGAGATAAATTTTTTCACGTAGAGGTTCTCCGTTACAAATTCTTTGCCCAGTGAAAGTAAAGCCGGAGATTCACCGGAAAATCAGGCTGCAAGCTTTGCCATGTTATACTAGATCACGCTATGTTGTACTATGTCGTAGAATTTATACGATATTTTTTATCTATACAATCACTGTGCAAAAATGTCTAACTAGATCATTTTTTCGCTGTATATTCGATGGCTAAAAGAATTTTAAATGCGAGTGAGACACGTAAAAGAAGATTGTACGATACATAAAAACTCTGTTGTATACAGTCGTGACACAAAGGATATAACCTAACAAACACGAAGATGGTACCCCGCTGGGGTTAGCCACTCATATGATAATCAAACAGCCAAAAAATTCTACCAAATGTCCAAATCGAACAAATTGTGAATGTAAACAACTAAATAAAAAAAAAATAAAAAAATATGCAGTCGTGTAATGTTCTTTAAAGGTCCTTAAAATATCGCTTCTGGAATTTAAAATGAGAAACTTCTTTGACCAGAAACTTTCCTGTGCCACTGTATCTTTTATATATATATTTTGAGTTGAAATTTTGCCACTAGAATCGTGACACCCGTGTCTCCACGCTGTACTAATGAAATTTTCATTTCAGGCTGCCTTGTATAATACGCGCAGTATGGCTACTAATAAAAATGTTCTACGGTAAGCGTACGAATACTTCCGTATGTATCGCGGCAAATATTTGTAAGCTTAGCGCAACGTAGCGTGGTTTGGCTTATCTTTCAGCTGAACCATCGGCTAAAGTACATAATACATACCTGTTGATAGTAATAGCTGCAACGGAGAGGAGACTCACGCCAACGTTTCCATACCTCAAGAAAGGCACGAGAACGCAGAGAAACCGTATATTTACCCAACTTGCATCGATGAATCTGATGGAATCGAACGGAAGTACAAGAAGGCAGAATACGAAGTCTGCCACGCAGAGGCTAGAACAATCAATGAAATTCGACGTGTTGATTTTATAGCAAAAAAATAGCAACGAGTTTTTCGATCAGACATTTTCTTTTCGAATCTTGACTTTGTTCGTAAATGGCGAAACGATATTTGTATCTTAATCATGATCTAATTACGATTTAATTACGACTTTCAAAATCTAGTTCTGTATGTTTGTATACCTTATAATGAAGGCTGCAGCTACGTTGCGAACTTTGGGATACTTGCACAGGGCAATGATCGTCAATAAATTTCCAGCGAGTCCAGTGATCATAATCAGTATCGCGACCACAGCTGCGAACGTCTGCAGCGGTTTAGGGAATCTGTACGTAAAAACGATATAATTTAAAAATTCCCTATTTCCAAGTAGAGCGTTCTTCTTGATTAGGATCCTTTTATCGATCAATTTTTCGTATGTTCAAGAAATGTTGATTTCTACTTTTACGAGTATCGATAACATTCGCAATTACCTCGATACTTCGCCGTCAATTATCGCACTTTCCGTGTTATTCTCCGAAGCGCGCAATAACCATGTGGCCAAGTTATCCATTTTGAAAGGAATTTCGTCTGGTTTCCTGCTGTTCATTCGATTCTGACCACCTCCGAGGCCTGAAAGGAACAGCGGTAAATAAAATAAGACTTCTTAAGTTTTCTAATTAATACTAAGTCTTCTAATTTTAAATAATTCCACGTAGATATAATATTCTGTGATAAACGATAGTGGAGACTAATATTAGTCAGTTAGCTGTTGCGATCTCTTTGAAAAACGTGTACCTAAAATGCGTGGCGAAAAGTAGGCGATGACGAGTATACTCGTCAAGCACGGAGTATGCGTGGTTCCTAGAATATGGAATTGAGTTGTAAACGAGATGACTGTTTTATCTTTTAATTTTATTACCGACAGGGCTTGTCGTGACACAAAATATTCGCACTCCTTCGTGACGAGTATACTCGTCAGAAAGAGCTAACTGGTTGATACGAGATCAACAACGCGAAACGAATACTCCTCTGCGTTTAATATCGCTGCTTGTAACAAGTATCGAGGTAACAATATTATTAGAACGATTCAGCAACATTAATATCAGATCGTCGTGAGTAATAAATGTCGACATGCGACAAGGTCTTGTTTCGGTCATTTTTCAGTTATGTAACATTCGAGATATATTTCATTCGATCTATTATTCCTTTCGTTAGTTCGCTAACGTTCTACTGATTTTTAACGCAATTACGTTCGACTTGTCTCTCGATGCCGAAATGGCAAAGACGCTGGACTTTTATTCTAATAATTTAAATTATATTTTTGAACTAAATTTGAAATTAAATTTAAAAAACTAAAATCTGAGACAAGGAACTCTTAAGACTACGAACAAATACACGTAGAGCGAGTGTGAACAATATCCATAGAGTAACCGATCTAACAGAAACTTTCTGGAGCTTGGTCTATCTGGAACATCTTAACAAACAAAAAAATTGTGTACATCTTCTCAGAGATGTCCAAAATTTCATAAAGCAGGAAAATGATTTTTCGATGTTAAAATAAAACGTTCGAACTATTGATCGGAACGTTTATTTATTCCGCTGATCTGCGATCTCGACGTAGACGAGACTAATTATAAATGATTTACAATTAGCCCTAGTCTATGTGTAATTAGTTGATACATTCGTAAATAATTATATCGTGAATTATAAATATTCGAGACTGCGTTTCCTCTCGTACAATCGTATCTCAGAAAAATCATAAAGTTAGTCAATGGAACTCGGAAGTTGTGAAGTGTCACGAAACGTATCGAGAATGATAACAATAGTGAAAAGATAAGAGACATTTGTGAGGGAATACATTTGTTCATTGAATTTTACAGGCCTGTGAATTTACGCGTTATAAACACAGGGCGACGTGAATTCCCACGAAGAGGAAACCGCGACCTAAACTTGCAGAGTGATGCATTATGCGTGACGTAAAGAGGAAGTTAGGTCGTTGCTTTGAAACAATCTAAACCGAATCGAAACATATTCAATGAAACAGTTTGATTCGATCTGGAATTACTTACGCAACTGTAGTGTTGGAAATTGTTCGATCGATCAATAATTTTAGGCGTCGTGAAAGTTCCAAATAAATCCGTCGTCGTGATTTGCACGCCATCGATCGCCTAAACGCTGCAAATCTTGTAGAGAAAAAAAAAAAAAAAAAAAAAAAATACTCGTAAGAACAAGATTTTGTTACGAAAAATATTTATCTCACGCGTAGTTTAATCTTTCAAAAAAGTTCGAAATATACGCTATATGACGAATATAGATAATAGAATAATAATTATATCAAATAAACAAATATACATATTTACACTTTGTTAAACAATAAATTTGAAATCTGAAAGTTACAGTGGAACGACGAATATCAATGCGATCAAGCTGAATCGTAAACGAATACTGATTAAGCCAAGAGATACGAAATTTACGCGTATGTAAATGTTGATATTTCTTATCGGTGGATGATGCTACAATGATGTAATATAATACGATACAGAGTATTATTCTGAATTTAGTATGGCTTCTACTCATCCGCTAATTATGTACTCTTAAGCTAACTGGGTAAATACTAGTCGATTCATCGTCTGGATGATAATTCCTCTATTTTAGTCTTCGTTCTGTCAAAAATAAATCGTATCGTACTCATATTCGCGATCATTAAATCTCCAACTGAAATCGATTCGTCTTTGACTAGCAATTCTTCATTTTATTTAATTGCTGGCCAAATCAATTTCATTTCAATTCTTCGATGTTTTCTGATTTGAAAAACGACTCGATTTAGCTAACCTCGCTGCGCTCTTTTGGTAATTATCGACCCGATCGTATTTTTCTCGTGTCGAACGGCATCTCGCGTTTGAATGGAATACGAAAGAATACTATTACCGGCACATGTGTACTTTTCATTCCAATTTTACTAGGAAACATTTTCTCCGAAACATTAGAAGCATTTTCGTTTGTCGAAATAAGCGAGTAAGATCGAAGCGTAGAAAATCAACGACAATAGCACGATCAAGGAAAAGATAAATGTTTTTCCTTTTTGTTTCCAACGATGGTAAGTTATTCTTCGACGATCGTTAGGATAAAGGAACTCTGGAGTTTCTAGAGCTAATCGTTACGGATAATCTGCGATCGTTTAGGTAGCTGTATGATACAGATGGGAGGAACGTCGATGATAAAACGTGACCGAAGGACTGTGTTATTATTTATGGGCAGACTGGAAGATTGTCTTTATCCGACGGAAGTAGGTCATCTGGAGGATTTACGAAGGACGATATAAGACGACTGCGAGCAGCGTCATCCTAATTAATTCTTCTCTCTGTGAACGATTATTAGCGTTAAAGGAGGAATGCTATATCCAAATTGCATCGAAATTATGAATTATTCATATTGACAAGGAATTCCTACAATACGATATTTATCTTTAACACATTGTCAGTGGCGTATGAAAGGTTTGTGTCTCACCGCAGTACACGTTTTCTCGGTATATATTCTTTCTTATCTATTTATCCTCGTTTGTCATTTGCGGTCTGTAGTTCGACTTATAATAATTTATATTCACTGTAATGTCGCTGTTATCGTATCCTGTTATGTTCGATGTGTTGCGTGGCGTTTCACTGCGAAGATTCGTTCTATGACTTAACTCGAACTGGATGAGTGTTCCACCAATCGTCCAATATATTTGTAATTTATTTTTTCCTACGAAGAACGCTCTATAAAAAAAAAAAAAAGAAAAAGACATTTTTCGGAAGAAAAATATCGTTGACGATAATCTACAATTTTTGTAAAGTTCTCGATGATGTCACGCAGGTGTACGCGATTAGTCTTCGTCATAGACTTGTCAAAAGACGAGTGATCTACTTGCTGGAATTCATCGTTGCAAGAATACGATGTGAAGGATTGGAATTGGAATTTAGAATTAGAATTAGAATTGGAACTAGAATCAGAATAGTTTTGAAGGAAACGACAGAGATATCGATAAATAAGCTATACGATGTGTTCAAGCTACGTTGGATTTAGTAAACTAGGGTCAAGCTGCGGTGCATTAACCTCGATTGAGATTAATTAAGGGAAATTAACGGACACCCGGTACTAGGCGTCCCCCGTAACAAAAAACTCGTCAAAACTGATGGCAGACATGGGAACCGACGGATGATGTCGTTGTCTCGTTGTCCTACCTCCTTTCTCCACACTGAACCTTTTGTTATCTCTTTGTGCTGGTTACGATCGACTAAATACATCGATTTCGGCCCACAGTCTACTGTATCCGGGCAGCAACATTTTTTATTTGAAAGTGTCTTTTCGAGTGGCGTGGCAGATCGCTGAAGATCGGAAAATGAGGGTCTTTTTTCGCGGGAGCGAACGCTCTTCAAAATTCGTTCTTACAAACATTTGACCGACGATGGTCGGAAATGTAGAAATCCGTGTAAAATCGCGATCGTACGGAGCGATACGCAAGCGGTAAACCGCAAATGCCAATTTTTCCGCTCGTCGCTCTCTGTACGAAGATATAGAAAAGCAAAAAATTATCCAAGCCCGTGCCAATACTCGCACTCGCCACTCAAAGTAGCTCGAGAGTATAAAATTTGATAAAAGATATATTCGGTCAACGAGTAGACCGAAATTTTACTTTTTGAAAAAGTTATTTATTACAAAAGTCCTACGACAACTTTCATTTGCAACGTTTCAAGATGTTGTATGAATTTCATCGTTGAATTTTATTCTTCGCAAGACTGTACAATCTAGGGGTTGATCTTTCGAAAAAATTTGTCTCGCTTCTCGAATACTTTCGTAGTTACAAGCGAGCGCGTAAAGCTGACTGACGCGTTGTTGCGTCACGTCGAAAGGGGAAATCGCCTCTTCTTCTCAGCCTCATCTGCTAGATATTCCGCGCGTAGAGAAACTTGGCGTTGTCGTCGCGTTCCCAGGCTACCGGACGGTCGATGGTATTTCTCGTGTTTCAGCGTGGTACACCTTGACGCGTGACAAAACCGCGTAGAAGACGACACGTCCCTCGTCTTCCATAGAATCCGACTGGCGATCGACTGACGTCACCGAATGATTTCCGAGTTAATCACGCGGCGAATGGCAATGAATGAGTCAAGTTGAGTCACGGTGAAAGTATCTAGAGGTGTCAAGAGGCCGACGAGTCGCGGACCATCGGCACGCATACTGCGCTCATGCAAATCGACTGATTATCTTGTTTATCGACAATGTACTTTTACCTAGGACGATGACTGCCTCCATTCATGGGCAACAACGACGGTCACATTGGATTTGCAATGACTAAAGTGTAGGTGTGAATAAGATACCACTTATCGTTAGATACACACAGGCTGGCTATTTGAATACTCGTAAACACCTAGTATAAACGTTGTATCTATATTATTCGTGAAATTCATGAAATTCATTTTTCAGGATATACAGGGTGCAGTTGAACGACACGTTCTATTGGGTTGGCAACCGAGTGAGTGACATTAGATGGTAATGACAAAATCTGTAATCACTTGGTTGCCAACACAATATAAACCGTGCCGCGGTAAAATCGTGCAACTGCGATTAACAGGCCCTTTGGCCGCATACAGGCGAGCGTCGCTCCTTTGACTTCTTCGGACCCCTTTCTGTAACGACCGTCACCTCCGCGTACAGTAGCTCCAGGAAGTTTTCCAACGCTTTCCCAACCACATCACGGAACGTTATTTCTATTCTTTTTTATTTTTTATTTTTACGTTTGGTAAATCTGTCTAACTTTATTACTAAATAATTATTAAGTGACACGTGGATGGCTACACTCAGCGGCAAAGCATCTTCCAGTTTGGAGTTAGGTTGGAATTACATTTCGTCAACGTTGTCGTAACGAGACTGTCGCGATTATCGTAGTAAGTTTGCAATCAATTCATAGAAGTTGCACGAGTATTTTCGCAGCGATTTTAACCTACAATTAGCGTTTTGACGATGGTCTCACTACTATAACGCGGTAGAAACTTTCAAAACTGTTGGAACGATCACTTTTCTGACCCAAAATTTCAATTTATTCGAGCACACGTTGACAACAATTGTCAGATTCCTTGAACATCTATGAGTTTCGTACCATAATTTTCGGCAATTCGTAGAGTTTGTTCGACAGAGATTGCATGGAATTCTTTTTTTGGAACCATTTTTCGAATGCCGCTAATGCTTCGACACGAGAACGCATCTCACGTTCGTTAGAACGCTATTAGCTTTGAACTAGGCTGCTCTTATTACAACGAGATTTCGATGGATCGAACAAAGCGAAGAATACACAAGAACATGGCGAACGATCGACTGTACGCAAATACTTCGACGTTCGCGTTGCGTAATATCGCCGATAAATATTTTCCAATTTCGATGTATCATTTTTAAATTCGTTTCAAATTTTAGGTTGAATTTTAAAGTTGTGATAACTTGGCTCGTCCGGGTGCTGAACGAGCTTGCGAAATGTCCGTAATTTAATGGAAAAACGAGAATCTAATGGTCAGCTTTGGGGTTAAGAAACAGGTATCAAACCATAGCAACGTCTAATGAACTATAGCGATGACGATAAACCGTACGAAGACTACGGACGGATATAAATAATTTAATTTCGACTTACTGTTTTAGGAACAATGTTTACCCGGTTTTATTCGCGTGGGTGAGCTTTCCCTGAACTCGAGTGCACGTGTGCACAGCGTTCACATGTTGCTGTCGAAATACGAGCGACTGTAAATTTCAATCTGCATACTGTACTAGTGCTTTAACAGCATTAACGCTAAGAATACGATCAGTGTCACAATAACGCGCAGCCATTGTTTCGTTCTCTGGTTTCCTTCGCCACGATCGCGTTTACCGTTCCTTGACTTTGAACCTCTATCTCTTGGAACACACTTTTTAACATTTTTCTTCATCTTTCGAAAAACTTTTTAAAAATTTCTAACATTCTTTCGTGTTCAGTTCTCTTCGATTTCTATATTTTCTTCTAAATTCACGAAGATAGTCGCGTATACCGTAGAGAAGCTATCTTTGTAGAAAGAAACGAGAGGAAAGTTTGGAAAATATCGTAGAGAAGACTGCGGATTTTTATACGTTTTTAGGAGACTTCAAAATTGCATCGAGTCCACGTACGAAGAAACATAGAAAATATTTGAAATGTATGTACCATCTTCTACGATTCTGGGTATCCTGTTAGCAATTAAATGATCGCAGATTTTGTCGTTAGGTGGTAACTTAGTTGCCAATCCAATGAAACAGACAAACTGGAAGACGCTTTCCCGCTGAGCGTAGCCATCCACGTGCCATTTAATAATTATTTAGTAACAAAGTTAGACAAATTTACCAAACGTCCAGCTGGACAAATCGCAAAGTGCAAATTAAAAATAAAAAAGAATAGAAATAATGTTCCGTGGTGTGGTTGGAAATCGTTGGAAAACTTCCTGCAGCCACTGTACGCGGAGGCGACGGTCGTCACAGAAAGGGGCCCGAAGAAGTCAAAGGAGCGACGCTCCTGGGCCTGTTAATCGCAGTTGCACGATTTTACCGCGACACGGTTTATATCGTGTTGGCAACCAAGTAATTACAGATTTTGTCATTACCACCTAATGACTTAGGTCACTTAGCCTAATGACTTAGCAATCACTTAGTTGCCAACCCAATACTTCGTGACACGTCGATAGTGGCAAGAGGAGCTAAAGCGTTGGCTGTCGTCCAGAACGCAGCAGTCCATCACTTCCATTCACGTTACGCAGGTAAACGCGCCTCGTCGATGTACAATATGTAGAATTTGAACGATCGTGTATTTCACTTGCCTCTGTTACAAACGTGAAACGTTTCGACGAACGATTTGGAAGGTTTCACCGTGACTCGTTTTTCTTCTTACAGTGAAATTTCGTTGGCGCGCTACGAAGCAGCCAAAGCCCGATGACGATGACGCACAAGAGCAAAGGGTTAATGTATCGAGATCGGGAGAACGAGGCGCGGGTTGGAAAATGGGACAGACGGACTGCCGCAATTGAGGATTCACGTTAGTTTCCGAGAATTCTAGATTGCCTTTAATTAATCGCTATCGCGTTGTTAAGCAGACTACGAGTTTTCGCATCCACGTCGATAATTACGCGCTACAAACGGCCAATGCTTTCTAAACGTACGATGCAAACGCGTTCGCCCCGGCTCGATACGTCTTCCAGCCGCTATAAATATTTAATGGATTTAAAAGAGCAAAACAGACTTATGCAAATGGATGGATGTTGAAGAAACTCGAAAAAGTCGGGGATGAGTCGAGAATGTCGTTGCGTTTTATTAAACGACGAACTACGTACAGCGAGATGAATCATAACGATTTGTTAATGAAACGGGAAAGCGAAGAAAGATGTAACGATGGTGACTAAACCATTTTTACGAGATTATACTCGATCGGAGAATGTTTCAATTTTGGGAAAAATTTGTCTGCTGTTTTGCTTGTTTATTTTTATATTCTTCATTTATCGTATTAGTTTGTTTTCTTAAAGTTTCTTTCGTTTTATAAGAAAATAATAGACGCACAGTGTTTTTTCTTTTATATTAGTTTATTGAATTATGCACCGATTTATTGAATTATCGAACGTAATAATAGAAATAGAAGGAAATGGATCATTCAATGAAATAATATAAAACAGAAATTGTTGTCTATCTATTATCACCTTATGGAACGGAAGAAACTTTTCGGACAACCTAATATATTCTTCATGCTCGTATCGCATCGGATATCTTCTCTTCTTTTTGTTAATTAATTCGCCCGTGAAAAAGGCGGAATACGCGAAAGGAACAGAAACCGAGAGATCGAACGATGAAAGCAAATATTTCCAATTTACAAACTGCGTGTATTTTGATAACGTCTATGAAAATATAACGTCCATTTCGGATCGTACAGAAACATAGAAAACAGCAGGGTTGATCTTGCATATTTTTCATCCGGATAATGTCAACTAATATATCGTATCGCGGAAGTAACGTTCAACTTGTGTCAACGTTACGCGCTACAATTTTTCTAATGTTCCAAGATCCATTTTTAAATTGTTGAAAAATATGATCGGGTTTCTTGAAATCTTATCTACGAAACAAGACATCTTGGCGTGGATTTACTGAAAACTAACGTTCAAAATTATCAAAAAGATTCCCCAAAGGTAAACAGAAAATTTGCAGAGCCAAAGATTTCTTATCTGCAACTATGTTCCACGTGCAAATCCTGTGCCGTAGACTTTTGCGACTGACTATACTTTACTACGCTCTAAAATTTTCCTAATGTTCCAAGATCGATTTTTAAATCGTTGAAAAATATGATCGGGTTTCTTGAAATCTTATCTACGAAACAAGACATCTTGGCGTGGATTTACTGAAAACTAACGTTCAAAATTATCAAAAAGATTCCCCAAAGGTAAACAGAAAATTCGTAGAGCCAAAGATTTCTTATCTGCAACTATGTTCCACGTGCAAATCCTGTGCCGTAGACTTTTGCGACTGACTATACTTTACTACGCTCTAAAATTTTCCTAATGATCCAAGATCGATTTTTAAATTGTTGAAAAATATGATCGGGTTTCTTGAAATCTTATCTACGAAACAAGACATCTTGGCGTTGTTTTACTAAAAACTAACGTTCAAAATTATCAAAAAGATTCCCCAAAGGTAAACAGAAAATTTGCAGAGCCAAAGATTTCTTATCTGCAACTATGTTCCATGTGCAGGGCCTGTGTCGTAGACTTTTGCGACTGACTATACTTTACTACGCTCTAAAATTTTCCTAATGTTCCAAGATCGATTTTTAAATCGTTGAAAAATATGATCGGGTTTCTCGAAACCTAATCTACGAAACAAAGCAACTTGGCGTGTATTTACTAAAAACTAACGTTCAAAATGATCAAAGAGGTTCTCCAAAGGTAAACAGAAAATTCGCAGAGTCAAAGATTTCTTATCTGCAACTATGTTCCACGTGCAAATCCTGTGCCGTAGACTTTTGCGACTGACTATACTTTACTACGCGCGTTTATGAACGGAGTTGAAAACCGATCGGAGCCGTGACACATTCGAAAGCCGCCCACAGCGCACCACGTGCTCCGCACGTCTGCAGCCGAGGTCTCGCTAGGGAGACAGTGACAAAGAAGACGCAACAGGAAAAAGAGAAAAAGAAAAAAAAAGGAAGAAAGAAATACACGAACGTCGTGCGTGTCGCGCATTGTATCGTCCTTTTTTCGTTTCAAAACCATTCGTCGTCGTACGAGGTCCGTAGGCAGGTTTTTTGCCTCGATCTTGGCATTGGTCCTCAAAATGACGCACATGTCGTCTCCGGGACCAATTGCCATTCTGTATCGGCAAGAACATCGCTAACTATCGTCTTCTCGCGTCCACTCGACGCACTTCAACGTCACTTGAAAATTCCACTCGACTTTCGTACTTTCGCATTTTTCTTAACAGCAATACGCAACGATCGGATAAAGCTCGTGGGAACCGCGTACGAATTCCGTCTCTGACTCACCGCATTAGTTCCTTTCACGAGTCATCCGTCACAGTAACCGACAGGACATCCGTAGAACGAGGAAAACCTTCGACTGTCCTCGACAGATTAGCAAGTTGCTAGTCCACGTAATGCGAAACAATGTCTATGAAACTGAACGTAAAATTCACCGAACGACGATACCATGCATTTGATAAAATATCATATTTCCGACTGTATGTGACGTTTAATTTGCTGGTATTTTTGACAAGCAAGTTTGCCTCTTACTGAATAGCTCGAGACAGTTCAAGATCGAACACACTGTTTCTTTTCCGTTTTCCTATACGTTTTTTTTTTCAATCTTTCCACGATCGACTAGTCGACGATGTATGGAATTAATCGGAGAAAAATGATAAAAATAAAAATTCGCGACTTTCGACAACGTACGACACTGTCTGTACGGACTGCGATACACGAACGGAAACCGATCGTCACGACGGAAGAAAGACGGTGGCGTGGAGCGACGTGCGATCGGCCTGTTCGTCACCGTCACCGCCGATGGACTGCTTACCGCGCTAGATACGGGCCCAAAGCGAGTCAACAGAGGGGGAACGGACTTAGGCGACTCGAACGACGACGAGTGTAAATGCAAGCTGCTTGTTGACATGTATACGACCACGAGCGAACCAGCGAAGCTCGAAGATGCTTTTAGGAAACGTTTATCACGCGTTTTGTGCTAATTGTCCAACGATAATTTCGTTTCTCGTTCGAACAAGTACGCACAGTGGCTGGCGAAAGTATATATATATATATACATATATATATATATATGTTATTCTTTTTATTTAATTTCAGTTTCACAGCTCACAGGAAACGGACTTGGTTTTACGATATTTTCTCAAACCGACGCGCAGTCGTATCTTTTTTACATTCGGCTTCGTAAACGCAAAGTTCGTAAAACCGAAGCCCGTTCTTGGCTCGCCAAAGTATTCCGCCAAAGTTTGTAGCAAAATTTGATAAATGTTAACGGCCCTAATTCAAAATATTTGTTCGCGTCGGCTATCGAAATTGTACTTACACGCGCGGGAAACTACCACTACTGTGCTATTTATATAGAATCACGTTGCTAGATCGTCGGAGGAATGACAAAGTTGCTTGAAACCAGCGCCTATTCCTCGTTCGCCGAAGTATCGGCGCGCAACGTTTTACAAAGCTAACGTGCGCGTTATTAACAGGAGAGATTTAAAGTTTATCGAGTCGAAGAATACAGTTTTAGCTACATATTCACAATAAACGGTGAATTTTTGCAGTGGTATGTCAGACAAAGCTACCGATACGCGGCGATACGACGTAGCCATGCTGTATTATGTGTCGGCGCTTTACATTTTTCGTTGTATGATACAATTTTTGGGTTTAAGCCGCTGGGGAGCGGAGTTTCTTTATGTATTTTTTTTTATTTTTTCTGTCCTGAAAATTACCTGAAAACAGGTACACGATTACGGTGACTCGAGATATCCGTCGAGGCGCGTCAACCGTCAAAATCGTGGTCGTTCAGGAACGACTATCGCTGGTTGCGATGCTGGTTTTCTCGCCGCGGCAATCACTCGCATTGTGAAGATCAACGATATTCTTTACGGTGGCTGGCGATCAACGTAGACGACGAGTTTCCGTGAAACCCGCATCCGGGTACCAGGAACCAACGAGATTACGTTAATTTGTGAGCGACGCGAGCGTACGATAAATCACACGCACGAACGTCTATTGGCGTTGATTAAGATTTTCGCGTGCTCGTCTCTGCGTATCGATTCTTCGAATTTGTTAGAGTTTAGCGCGTACGCGCGATATCGCGTACGGTGTAAAGTTAAAGCGATTTAGGTCGACGTTTTTATAGAAAGGGGGCCGAACAACGAGCGGTCCCTTGACGATAAATCGTCAAACGCTCGGTTTTTATTAGAGCCGGGGGTGTAACCGTAAGCTTAATCTGGGGCAATATGAAACGCTGCCGGTGAGTGGCAAACCGTCGACGCTTCAGCGACGATAGCGCGTCAAACGATCTCATCGATTCGAATCATAGTTTTCCGCGGACCTCGCGTTCCGAGAAATTTCCCCGTTTAACGCGAAAGCGCCACTCTCTAATTTCTGGAACGATTCGTTGTTTCTCCGTGCGTGTGCGATGACTCACGAAAATATTCGATTGCTTACGAAATCACGGATGACATTCTCTTCTTCTTTGCGAGGAACGCGTTACGTTCGTTCAACGAGCAAACTATCGCGCCACCGTACCGATAAAACGCGAAATCGATATAAAAACGTGTTAAAAAGTTGTCAGACGTTTATCGCAAAGCGTACGATATCAGCGGTGTCCGCGATTTTGCGTTATATGAATTTTTTTTTTTTTTTAATCGAGAACGACGTTTAATATAGTCGATAACGATCGTTTATGGCTGCTTTTAAATCTCGATTAATTCTAAACTACAAACGACGAGTAGATAAGCTAGAAGCTTTCTCATTCGTTTTATTTATACAAAATATATCATGGTTATTGGCCGTTTTCACAAATATACAGGGTGGTTGATAACTGGTGGTACTAACGGAAAGGGGGTGATTCTACGCGAGAAAAGAAGTCGAAAATATAGAATATAATTTTTTTTTCATTTTTCCATCGAGGCAATTCAAAATCGATTTTCTGAAAAGTAAAGCCTCGAACGAAAAATTGTTATTCTATATTTTCGACTTCTTTTTTCGCGTACAATCACCCCCTTTCCGCTTGTACCACCAGTTACCAACCACTCTGCATAAAAATGCTCACTGCGAGTTACCTTGTACACTTATTTGTACGTCTATCGAACAGCTACGTATCTCTCGTACATAGATTCACTGAGAATCTATGTGTCACAATTTCTCGTACGAATTCTTCTCGATTTCCTCTGTTCAGCCGCGTAAAATAGGAAAGTTAGCCGGAAGCCTGACGAAAAATCGTCAATTACGAACGTATCGGGGAAAATCGCGTGAAAATTCAACGACTCTCGATTTCTAAGATAACAAACAGACGGACGCGCGTGTTTCGCAACGTTGAGACGAAAGAATCGATTGGAAAATCGTACGAAACAGCGGCTGTGTGCAACCATCGACGGAAGATCTCGAAGAATCGGCGTAACGCGATAAAACGTAACGGTGGAGACCCAATCGCGAAGCTTCGGTTTACAGACGATTTAAATCATCCCCTTCGTCGAATCGTCTGGACGAAAAGCTTCCGTTTTAATTAATTATATTTACCCGGTGAACGATCGAGCGAACGGGTAAATGGCGTTTCCTTCTTGCGAAGGAGGAGGCAGACGAAAGAAAAAAAGAGGAGAACGGTGATTCCACTTCCGATTTATTAGGGGCGCGGTAGATGCTCTTCCGTTGTGCACGCTCGTACCCAGCTGCTTTCTCCCCCTTTGTACGGCTCGATCGTACGGCAGCCTGGCTGCTAAGCAAATGTAATTATTTTTAAAAAGGATGTAGGGACCGTGGTGTTTTCATGCGGACGGAACGCGTGCTTCGAACGAAAGCGTAGGTGCTTTAAGAGTAAGCATCGAGGATGAGTCGATGCGCCACGTTTCTATAAATCATTCGGGAAGCGTAATCGCGGTGTACACCTACATCCAGCAGCTTTCTTACGGACAACGATCGCGTGATTTGTAATGTCGCGTGCACCGGAAGTCATCGTACAATACGACGGCATTTACGTGGAATTTTAAAACGCTTTAAACGGAAATTTAAAACGTTTTGTAGAAAGTTCGCGTTTCCGACGTTTGTCTGGAACAGTGAATCTTTAACGACTTTCGATCGTCTTTCTCTTTTGCTTCTCTTCTTTCTTCTTTTTCGTTTTCGAAGAAGAAGAAACACAGGAAACGTACAGGATGTCCGAAAAATGAAAGTGTAACACGGTGTTTGATGTTACGTAACGTCGCGTATCGTGGTATACAAAGATGGAAAGGTTTTTCCGAAGTCTGAGATTCTCGCAGAGATTTAGGGAACGCGTACGATACGTAAAAATGAACGAAACGTTGTTTAAGTTAAGAAGTTTAATTTATCGCGATATTCGATGGACGAAGAAGATCGCTATTTGGGATCCAGTTATTTAATTATGCGCGTAAAAATATAAAACCACGCGCACCGTCTAAAAATAACGTTTCGCATGAAAGTGAAAGAGACTTTTGCTCGAATCGACGGATTACTTTGTAGCAGCGTGATTGCTGTTGCCCAGGCTCGTCGTGTATTCTATTAAGCGTCCACGCCTCCACAACGTGGCACGTTAAACGTCGTTCGTTAAACGACGACTTCACTGATTTCACCGTTGATGTCTTACCGCCCTCGGATTTGTTAACAGGTCCAGATTGAAAGAGATCGCCGTAATTCGCGAAGAAATCTCCTTAATTTGCCGTTGTACCGATCGAACGTCTAACGTTCTCCTTGCAAAAGTAAACGAGTCTTCTAAAAATAAATATAAAATTAGAAAACGATCGATCAAATAAAAAAAAAGGAAAGAAAGAAAGATCTTTGTGATTTCTGAAAATGTAGATGAATTACGACAAACAAATATATCGACCATAAGCGTGAGCAGAGCAAACATACGTATTATCGAGATAATAGGAAAAATAAGCTCAACGATTAATTGTCATTTATTAAAATGATCGATTAAACAAAAGAAATTAAAAAAAGAAAGATCTTTGTGATTTCTGACAGAGCAAACATACGTATTATCGAGATAATAGGAAAAATAAGCTCAACGATTAATTGTCATTTATTAAAATGATCGATTAAACAAAAGAAATTAAAAAAAGAAAGATCTTTGTGATTTCTGACAGAGCAAACATACGTATTATCGAGATAATAGGAAAAATAAGCTCAACGATTAATTGTCATTTATTAAAATGATCGATTAAACAAAAGAAATTAAAAAAAGAAAGATCTTTGTGATTTCTGACAGAGCAAACATACGTATTATCGAGATAATAGGAAAAATAAGCTCAACGATTAATTGTCATTTATTAAAATGATCGATTAAACAAAAGAAATTAAAAAAAGAAAGATCTTTGTGATTTCTGACAGAGCAAACATACGTATTATCGAGATAATAGGAAAAATAAGCTCAACGATTAATTGTCATTTATTAAAATGATCGATTAAACAAAAGAAATTAAAAAAAGAAAGATCTTTGTGATTTCTGACAGAGCAAACATACGTATTATCGAGATAATAGGAAAAATAAGCTCAACGATTAATTGTCATTTATTAAAATGATCGATTAAACAAAAGAAATTAAAAAAAGAAAGATCTTTGTGATTTCTGACAGAGCAAACATACGTATTATCGAGATAATAGGAAAAATAAGCTCAACGATTAATTGTCATTTATTAAAATGATCGATTAAACAAAAGAAATTAAAAAAAGAAAGATCTTTGTGATTTCTGACAGAGCAAACATACGTATTATCGAGATAATAGGAAAAATAAGCTCAACGATTAATTGTCATTTATTAAAATGATCGATTAAACAAAAGAAATTAAAAAAAGAAAGATCTTTGTGATTTCTGACAGAGCAAACATACGTATTATCGAGATAATAGGAAAAATAAGCTCAACGATTAATTGTCATTTATTAAAATGATCGATTAAACAAAAGAAATTAAAAAAAGAAAGATCTTTGTGATTTCTGACAGAGCAAACATACGTATTATCGAGATAATAGGAAAAATAAGCTCAACGATTAATTGTCATTTATTAAAATGATCGATTAAACAAAAGAAATTAAAAAAAGAAAGATCTTTGTGATTTCTGACAGAGCAAACATACGTATTATCGAGATAATAGGAAAAATAAGCTCAACGATTAATTGTCATTTATTAAAATGATCGATTAAACAAAAGAAATTAAAAAAAGAAAGATCTTTGTGATTTCTGACAGAGCGAACATACGTATTATCGAGATAATGGGAAAAATAAGCTCAACGATTAATTGTCATTTATTAAAATTATCGATAATTAGAAGCGTAACGATCTTTCTTATTCTTATTAATCGATGTCTAAAAGTTTAATGTTTCATATCTAATTGTAACGCGATTCGTTTATAATACGATTTTTTCATCGGCTAAATATCTATAAACGGCGATGTATGTAGGTCACTATAGCACGTAGATTCGCGTGATTCTCCCAAGAAACTTAATAAAATAGATTTTCGTCCGGTAGAATAAATATTCTCTTGTTCGTGAAGGACACTAACCCCACGCCTGCGCTCTATTAGGATCCAGAAAACTCATCTGTAGAAGCGAATTCGGTGGTCCAGTTGGCCGATCGGTTAGTCGCTTCGCGAATTCCGCGAGACCAGTTCCGATCGAGATTTCTATTTTTGTGGTATCTTGGCCGTCTCGGTCTCTCGTTTGAACCGAAAGCCTACGTGTATTTCGATCGTGGAAAAATCGGCCTACGCATTCGGTTTCTTAAATATCGAGAGGTCGCGTCCAGTCGTCGACAATTTACGACCAAACAGAAATGTAACTACGAGTCCTTTGTAGCTCTGAACGCGTACTGTGCGACGAATACTACGAGAGATAAATAAGAAGAGAACGCGACGATTTTTATTTCCGCAATATCTTCGTCGCCTGGCCGAAGAGCCGAAGAACTTTCGTCGTGAAGAATCGAATCCGCTGAAAATCTGTTCGATTTTTGAGATAAAACTTTTTATACGCAGCGTTGCTCGTTTCTTTCTCCCGCGAGTGCGACGAACATCGTCGGTGTGAAACTTTGCGCGGAACGTCATCTCGGAAATTCCCTCGGAACTTTTCCTCCTTTGCTAAAAAAACGAAGATCCAAGATGCGCAACAGGTTCAAATACTCGCGTCGTACTTCTCTGGATTTCCCTGCGAAAGGCGACGAACGCGTCGCTAAAGGCGATCGTAGCCCGCGTGTTGTACATCGCGAGGGCGTGAAATCTCATTCATAGTTGGTCGCGCGTGCACGTTTCATGGAAATTGGATGGTTTGAACGCGTAAGATGAGAATAGAAGGCGGAAGAGGCAGATTGAAAACGAAATTTACCGGCAAAGCTGAAAGAGGCGATCCGGCTGAACCGATCGAAATCTGCACGTGCTTCTGTTCGTCCGTAGTCGCATAAATGATTCGCATCAATGAACTCAGAACCGTCGGCGTCTACTTCTTACGAGGGTAAGCGCTTCTTCTATTGATCGTAGGCAAGAACCGTCGACGATAACAGAACTGTACACGAAACGGCTGACAAAACGTGAATTCGCTTCTAGCATCTCGTGACGCTACGCTGCAGAGGAAGATTGGACGCGTTGTTCGTTCAAAACTAACTCGTCGACGTAACTCGTCGATGCACGGATTATCGTCAGTCGTCGATTTTTAGCCAGTTTATCGGCTTTTCGTCTCCTCTGTTCATCTTTCTGTCCACTATCGACGCAAATATATAATTATAAACTTTCATTTCCAATCTTTCTGCCGAGACATCGAGACGATGCCTATCTGTTCCTTAAAATTGCGATTATCGTTGCGTTGAAGTAAAAATAAGCGTCGACTTAGGCTGGCAAAGAAGTAGACGTGAACGTAGAGAAGAAAGGGAGAAGAAAAGGAAGCTCGTTACTTTAGTTTATGTTAATTGAAAATAAATATCAATCGTAATGCGACGTAAATTAGAAATAAGATTTGTACCTGAACCGCGTTCAGCGTAAGAGCAGAGAAGATAAAACGAAAGAAACATACGTGGAGATTGCCTGTGCTAATAATCGTCGAGCATTCGAACGATCGATTGTTTTTAACATCTCGACGGAGATTAGAACAGAGATTGGAAGAGATTTGCCGGACACAGCGCGGTGCGTTTTTAATACGAACGCGATATGCGCTTATCGGAAGGAGTCGATAAATCGAAATACAACTGCGTATTCGCGCATTCGTGTACAATATTCGAAGTACGATCGAGATAACGACGATCTTCGAAACATCGGTTCGTATGCGAGCGAAATGCGCGAGACCGAAGTAACGCGGAATTTCGCGTTTCTGTTTGGCGAACCGAGAGGAGAAACGCGATTCGACGAAGCGACTCGACGGAGAAAGTAGGATTTTCGCTCGATTAAATATATTTCCCTGGTACGAATTGCTTTTGTAAAATACATTCGTTCGCCGGGACTTGGCGATCCCTCGAGAAACGCAAATTCGCCGGAAGATCGAGGCGAAGTTTGCTCCGCGGTTGAAAGAGCGTATCGTCACGAGCGGCGAAAATAGATTTCTCTCTCTTCCTCTTCGGACGCGAGGAAAAAAGACGTACCTTCGTTGCATTTTCTCAACGTGTAGGAAAGAAAACGAGCGAGACAGTCGTTGAACGGGGAGAAAGTAAATAAATGGTGAGCATAGGCGGCGGAGTGAACGAGCGGAGAGAAAAGGGAGGAAGATCGAAGGGAAACAAGCTTATTTACATAAAGAGCGTCGTTAATTTCGTTTAAGAACGTACGAGTGTTACCCACTGACGGAGACAGCGACACGGCGATCCTAGCTACTTGGGACGTTTAAGAAACGCTACGTTTTCAAAACCATCTTACGATTACCGATTTAAGAATTTACTCGATCGTACGTTTAGCAGGGCAGCTTAATAATTTACGTTCGAAGCTGCCGTGCGTGTAACTACCGCTTTACTACATTGATAATTTATACGATTGTTTATTTAAGTAATCGCGATACATTGGAAGCGATTTAACGTTATCCAGTCTTAGACGATATTTTTTGATAGAGCGCGCGTTCGCGCGTGTCTCGCGTAACTGGGCCAAATTATAGCATCAAAGCGGTGGAACACGTGCAGCGAGAGAGGAAGCCACGTATCACGTGATCCGTGTTTCCGATCTTCGGACCGCTCGTGTTTCTAACATCGTATTTATCGAGATGTTTAATACTTTGTTTTTTAACGTAGCCCCGTAGATTTCGAAAGCGTCGGTAAATTAGGAAGTAATAGCCGAAAAGTAAGAAAACGTAACACGTAATGCTCGCGTGATACACGAAATAGTCTACGGTTGAACGTACTTCAAACGCAAATCTGTATACCGCTGCTTAATATAGACGTGTGTCAATTTATTAGATATGCGAATTAAGTGGGAGTGTCGTGAACAAATAGGCACGTTTCATACGCAAATAGCGTATGTACTGTATCGGATTCCATGTCGCGTACAAACGAGCGTATCAGTGTTTCCCAACGTGCAACACGCGTGCGCCTAACAGCGCGCAATTTTGGCTGTTTCTGTGTACAGTCGCAAGACGATATCGCCTTTGTCGTCGATAGGCGCGAAACCGTGCTTTTTATTCTAACAGACGTTTATTTTCACGTGACGCTTTCAAGCGTTGTTAGCTCGTCGACTGTCTGAAAATTGCGTTGCTATCGATTTAAACGAAACTCGACGTTGAAACGAAATGCAACTTGAAATTCGAATAAAAAGTTTGATTAAATCGTCTTGAATTACGATCGTAATGGATCTTTTACATTTTTATTCTGTTATTGAAGTTTCTTTATTTTTTTTTTTTTTCATTTGAATTATACTTTCCTTTTCTAGGTCCGTTTATATTATAATTTTAGAACTTGATTGGCCCTGTTAACGAACGATCGAAAAATAGTTGGGAAACTCTGACGTATATGTACATACCTTTGCATTTGATCTCGTTTTCATTTGAATCATACTTTTTCCTGTTTATATTATAATTTTAGAACTTGATTGACTCTGTTAATGAACGATTGAAAACTAGTTTGGAAACTCTGACGTGTATGTACATACTTTTGCATTTGATCTCGTTTTCATTTGAATTATACTTTTTCCTGTTCATATTATAATTTTAGAACTTGATTGACTCTGCTAATGAACGATTGAAAACTAGTTTGGAAACTCTGACGTATATGTACATACCTTTGCATTTTTTTTTATTTATTTATTAAAATTATAATCAATTCTCGCGTTGAGAATAAGCTTTGCATTTCATCTCGTTTTCATTTAAATTATACTTTTTTCTGCTCATATTATAATTTTAGAACTTGATTGACTCTGTTAACGAACGATCGAAAACTAGTTTGGAAACCCTGACGTGTATGTACATGCTTTTGCATTTGATCTCGTTTTCATTTGAATTATACTTTTTCCTGTTTATATTATAATTTTAGAACTTGATTGACTCTGTTAACGAACGATCGAAAAATAGTTTGGAAACTCTGACGTATATGTACATACCTGTGCATTTGATCTCGTCAGCATCCTGGGAGTGCGATTACTATCAGATACAGATACGTACTGGGTGAACTGTTTAAGTATAAATACAAATCGGATACGAATTGATATTTTGCCGCTCGATCGACGATTCTGAAATCCGCAGATGTCCAAACTGACGTTGTTCTCTTCGATGCATAAACCTGATGTTACCAATACCGATACCTCGTACGAGATTTTCTTCTGTACCCTTCGATGTTGGTTTTTCTCGGTAAACCAACTGTTTCAATTCGCATGACGGATAAAATGCCAGGTCAGCGACGTTGGCGAAACGAACTGATCGCTTGGCGTTTCTTTATTTCGTATACTTTGTGTCCTGCCTAACGCTGCTTTCCCGTGTCTCGTTTTCCTTTTTTATTTAATTCTTTATATTCACAATATATCCAGTTTGGACATTTGGTAGAATTTTTTAACTGTTTGATTATCACGTGGGTGGCTACCCTCAATACATGGGATACCGTGCAATACATTTACATTGACGCGGTAGCGAGACAGATCGTCTTGCTAATCCTACGTCTCAGATCCTTGTCGATGCCACGTGCTAATTTTTCATTAATCGCTCGTTCGCGATAAACGCGTCGTAACTGGTCCCTGTCCAATTCGTCTCGTCCAATTTCACCACAATTGTACACTCGCTATCGTATAGTCGTCGCCCCTCGTTACGATACCCGCGAAATTTCAACAATTCTTTAGATAAAACGTAGTACGATATATTTGTAAAAAAAAAAGAAAAAAAAAGAAATTCGTAAGCGATAAGAGTTGGAATACTTGAACGAGCCACGCTTACTTATTTCTAACGCGACGTATATTATAACGATCGTCGGAGTACAACTCAATTTTCCATTTCGCAACTACATCCGTAACATCGTTTTTCCAACTCGTTAAAAAAGGCTTGTTTTTGCCGGTCGTCGCCAACAGGCGACCAGTTTTTACGCTCCTGTACAAAACGACACCTGTCTACCATGCTGTCCGCAGATGGAGTACTGGATGGCGAGCAACGAGACCGGTCACAATGGCACAGAGGAGACAATCCAGGAGGTCCTCAGGGATCCAGGATCGGCGGTCCTCTTCGTGGGATATCCGCCATGGCTTTTGCACTTCGCCGCTGGATGTTGCATACTCTTCATGGTCATCGGCATCCCGGGAAATTTATTCACCATCGTCGCTCTTTTCCGCACCAAAAAGGTCAGCGCTCCAGCGATACGTCTTTTCCGCGTCTTCGTCGTCTTTCCTTCAAATTTTCTACATCTATCGCTATATCTCTTTTGTTCGTTTCTTCTCTTCTTTTTCATTTTCTAACGCGCACCAAGAAACTCGAAGTCTTTGTATTTCATAGCGTTCGAGTGACACGCGTTTCTATCCTCGACGAACGCGTCCCGTCTATTCTTTCTTCTCCTCTTTCGCGTTGCTTCTTTATTTCTTCGGACACGTTGAAATATTCGAAGCTTCCGATCGACACGCGTTAGATTATCATCAGCCACAACACGTTTTCACAGAGGAATTTTATCTCTGTGCCGTAGTTTGTCCGCGAACACGTCATTCGTAGGATTCAGCGAAATCGGAAATTTCCTGCGTTACGATCCAACGACACGTTGGCAAAAGCGATGACACGTTTTCTAAGAGATTTATAAACGATATGCTTGCGCGTAAGTCGAGCAAACGGCGGATACAACGAGGCGAAAAAATGTCGTACGACGAATCTGTCACGTGGAATGAAATATACTCGGCGGCGTTGCGGTTACTTGAATTTCTAGTTACTCGTAGCACGCTAAGTGGTATTTGCTCGTACACCGACTAGGTCAATAAGTGGTTCACCTCGAATCTCGTTTCGAGACAATAGGAAAAAGTAAAAGTGACGTAAGGAATGGTTAAAAGCTGGCGTAGGTAAATTAGCATACGCGAGTGAAGCGAATCTTGGAACAAATCACCATGGAACTGTAATTACGAGAAAACATTCGTCGACGATTTATCGTTTTTATTCGCCTGTGTATTTCTCGCTTCGTCGTGCTAATGAACTGCTTAACCAGTTTTTTCTTTTTTTTTTTTATTTAGTTGTTTACATTCACAATTTGTCCGATTTGGACATTTGGTAGAATTTTTTGGCTGTTTGATTATCACGGGGTGGCTACCATCTTCGTGTCTCAACCAGTGGCGAATAACAATGAAGGTTTCTTCGATTCGAAATGTTTCCCTTTAAAGTTACGCTGTAATTCGCGAAGAATTCGGGAATTCGCGTTCTTTTCTTTTAGATTTCGCGATCCTTTCGTCGAAGCTCGCCAATTGTAAGAAAACTCGATAGATCTGGCGAAACGCAACCAAAGTTTATGCAACGAGATGTTTTTGGCAGCACCGAGACTTATCGAATTTATGGGCACTCGCTGGATTTACGTGTAATTTACGAACGCGCCAACATTTATCTGTTAAAAAAAGTATATTTACCAAGTTGACGCGATCACCGAGATAACACGTTTCCACGCTATGATAACTTGCCGCTGCGTCGCTATAAACGTTGCTCTTCCTTCCGATTCGTTCGACTTGCAGCAAAAGTCTCAAAACTACGCACGTTTCTAGTTGCGTAACGACCACCAAATACATTTTCCAATCTATTTTCTGGAAATATTATTAGCGGAATATCGCAGAACACGTTGTCGGTTTGCCTAAAACCAACGAAGAGTGGCGGAGAGGCGAAAGAAGGAAGAAACATTTTCCGCAATGTCAAGCGAACAGAACGATAGAAAAATAGGAGTTTGTCAAAGAATTAATTAATCAAATGGAAGAATGTTTTTCATTTTCTGTGACATTTATTTCATCGTCGAATTAAACGACCGATATATCGAGAATTTCTTTGTAAATTTCTATGGGGTTGGCAACTAAGCGATCGCGGATTTTGTTATTAGCTGGTATTGACATAATCCGCAAATCGCTTGATTTTCGAGTCAAATGGTTCATTTTTATTCCGCTGTTCGTTATCCTCGTCGAATCGCGACAACGAGACATTTTCGTATCGTAGAGGATCGAAGACTCGTAGAAGACGATTTTCGAATCGACGATGCACACGCGGTTTGTGACTTTCGGTGTATCATGAAACTTTTGCCTTGATCCTGTACAAAGAAAAACCATTACCTGTGATTCGGACTATTGCGAGTAAAACGAAGCAGCGGATGAGTCGATGGAATTATCGATTTCACGAGAATTATCGTCACATTGTAAATTATTACCATTACCATCGTTTACCATCAGTAAACATATTTTTAACGATAAGTTTATATGTTTATATTATACGATAATTGAAAATGATTGTGCGCGTACCTACTTACGATTTACAATATGTAATTGTATATCAATTGTATGTAATTGTAAATGTATACAATATGTATTGTATGTAACTACGATTATGCACAACTGAGTGTACGTACAGTCGCGTTATTTTCTACAATTGAATTTACGCTTGATATACAGGGTGATTGATATAACTGGTGGTACAAGCGGAAGGGGGGTGATTCTACGCGAAAAAAGAAGTCGAAAATATAGAATACAAATTTTTCGTTCGAGGCTTCGTTTTCGAGAAAATCGACTTTGAATTTTCGGTCGGTACGCGTGCGCTTTATCGCGTCATAACGGATCTCACTGTAGATCGTTGTCTCGATGGAAAAATGAAAAAAAAAGAAAAATTTGTATTCTATATTTTCGACTTCTTTTTTCGCGTAGAATCACCCCCCTTCCGCTTGTACCACCAGTTATATCAATCACCCTGTATATCAAGCGTAAATTCAATTGTAGAAAATAACGCGACTGTACGTACACTCAGTTGTGCATAATCGTAGTTACATACAATACATATTGTATACATTTACAATTACATACAATTGATATACAATTACATATTGTAAATCGTAAGTAGGTACGCGCACAATCATTTTCAATTATCGTATAATATAAACATATAAACTTATCGTTAAAAATATGTTTACTGATGGTAAACGATGGTAATGGTAATAATTTACAATGTGACGATAATTCTCGTGAAATCGATAATTCCATCGACTCATCCGCTGCTTCGTTTTACTCGCAATAGTCCGAATCACAGGTAATGGTTTTTCTTTGTACAGGATCAAGGCAAAAGTTTCATGATACACCGAAAGTCACAAACCGCGTGTGCATCGTCGATTCGAAAATCGTCTTCTACGAGTTTTCGTTTAAGGCTTTGTTTTCGAGAAAATCGACTTTGAATTTTCGCTCGGTACGCGTGCGGTACGTTATAACGGACCTCACTGTAGATCGTTGTCTCGATGGAAAAATTAAAAAAAAAGAAAAATTTGTATTCTATATTTTCGACTTCTTTTTTCGCGTAGAATCACCCCCTTTTTACTTGTACCACCAGTTACCAACCACCCTGTATAATTAAATTAACACTTAATTTAATTACCATTGTTCGCAGTTAAGAAACGCCACCGCGATCTTCATAATGAACCTCTCACTTTCGGATCTGATGTTCTGTTGCTTCAACCTTCCTCTTGCTACGTCAACCTTCTGGCATAGTTCCTGGCGACACGGCCCGCTTCTATGTCAACTGTTTCCTTTATTAAGATACGGCTTGGTAGCAGTAAGCCTGTTTTCCATATTAGCGATCACGATCAATCGTTACGTTATGATAGGTCATCCTAGATTTTATCCCAGGTAAGTAAACCAAGTATTTTTCCCATGTTTTACCTCGCCAGTTACGTGTCGCTACCTTTTTCAGAAACTTTTTGAAAAAAGAGTACGCGTGACTGTTGTAACGTAGAATTAACACTAGAACTAGAAACTTTTCGGACGACCTAATTACTTTACGCGTGACGAGTATACTCGTCGTAGCGCAAAATATCGCCGTTTCTCCATCACCAGTATACTCGTCCAAAACAGCAAACCGATTAACCATCGCAAATCATACGAACGCAAAAGGAAATTGCCTATGTGAATTTTGTAATTTTGCTACGACTTGGTCGTTCAACGTGATACGCTCGTAACGCGGTATAAATCAAGCCCATCCGGAACGAAAATGATTTACAGTAGACTAAACACGCGCGTTTCATCCTAATCGACTGTGTGTACGTATCGGTACACGTATATTCGTCCGCACAAATATACTCGTCGGATCGTCAATTATTCTACCGCCTTTGAATTATTTGCAAAATCGAATTATCATCCAGATCAGTAAAACGCGGACAATTTCTTTTCACCAAGCCTCTTCTATCAATATTCTCAAGCCTCTTCTATCACTTGCCTTCAGGATATACAAATCGAGATACATAACACCGATGATTCTAAGTACGTGGACGATCGCATTCGGTGCCCTGGTCGTTACGTGGTTCGGAAACTGGGGTCGCTTTGGACTGGACGTGGCCATTGGTTCTTGTTCCATCCTGCCAGACGTAAATGGTCGAAGTCCGAAGGAGTTCCTGTTCGTCGTTGCCTTCTTGATTCCCTGTATCGCGATCGTCGTTTGCTACGCGAGGATCTTCTACATCGTTCGGAAAACCGCTTGCAAAAGTAGAAATCGCAACGTAAATGCCAGCACGGACGCTGTGGAAAGCAACCACGAGGTAAGCGTAGCGCGCAACGACGGGTGAACGTCGTAGGTGCTCGTCGATTTTAAAACCCGCAAATCGTCTTGCCTTTCGGCGTGCACGTTTTCTCGTAAACCATGGACTCGCGAAACCCGTACGAACAGCAGGCGATTATTATTCTTTGCTTCGTTCGGTTGCAGAGACGATCCATATCACCGAGGATCCAAGAGGAAGAACTGTCGGTGGTGGGTTCGAGCTGCGCGGCGAGCGTACTCTGCGCCAACTTCTCCTCCAAATGCACCGTAGCTTCGCCAAACCGGCTCAACTGCTCCAGTACGCCTTCGAGATCGGCGATCGAAGAATCCTTGTCCGAGCAACTTTCATGGGAACAGAATTCGGCCGGGTCCGAGGAAGAGGACGACGAGGACGACGACGACGACGACGAGGAAGGCGAGAACGAAGAGGAGAGGACGCGGCAAAGGAGGAAGCGGAAACAAAGATGCAAGAGGAGGCAGAAATCGACGAGCCAGAAACTCGTCGACGACCGTGATAGAGCGAAGCCTAGCTTCGAAATAAAGATAGACGATATACCGTACGTGGACGATCTGGACGCGGCTGAGACCGTTCTCGCGAACGACCGAATTAAGATCAAAGAATCCGCCGAGAAAGCTTCCGCGAACGCTCGAAATAAATTGGAGAGAATGACCAGCAGAGCTTCGTTCGTGATCGAGTCGGCTCTCTGGGTACAGAGATTCAACCGCAGAGCGTCTATGGACGGCGACCGGTTGGACAGCTCGAGATCGAACACGCCGGATCGATCGGCCAACAGCAGGAGGAGACCTACGATCGCTCGCAGAGAGTCGAGATTTACGGGCGTGCAAAAATTCCGCAATTCCGATGGCCCACCGAGGATGAGTAACAAGGACAAGAAACTGCTGAAGATGATCCTGGTGATATTTTCGTCGTTTCTCGTTTGTTACTTGCCGATCACTGTTACCAAGACTTTCAAGGATGCGATCGATTGGAGAGGCTTGAATATCGCCAGTTACATTCTCATCTACCTGACTACGTGTATCAATCCTGTGGTTTACGTGGTCATGAGCTCCGAGTATAGAAGCGCGTACAAAAATCTGTTGCTCTGTAGGAACGATTCCGGGGTGAAAAACGGAGCCAGGAGGTCGCCAGGATGAGGAAGAGGGTTCGCCAGTTTGCTCGTGGGCGTGTACGAGCTGGATTTTATGGCTCGTTTCAGAGATGAACTTGCATCGTCGATTGGCCGCGGATGTTCGTACGCTCGAATTACGCGAAATACGAACATACAGAGATAAAACGACGCGGTATTTGCTGTTTAGCCACTTGTAATTATGACATTTTTATAGTATGCGTGTACGACCAGCTAATGGATCATGTTGGCCAATTAACGTTAATTTATAACGCCACGTGCAGCATATTTCTTTCGGTTAAAATTATAATCGTCGTTTTCACTGTTATTGCGAGCTACGATTTTTCAAACAGATTTTTAACGAATTAAGAGGAGTTTATGCGACTTGGAGAAACGTGTTCGATGATGAAAAGAACGTCCCTCTGAAATCGCGTTGTTCATCGCTTCGTAGTTATCGATACTGCTTGCACGAGCGTACGTGTCTTTTTATAGCTTAATTACGGTTCGATGCGGCGATTAGAATTTCGTGATTGGAATTGACGTCGAAGAAAAAGGTAAATTTCAATCGCGGAAGAACGGTAAATCGATTCGTGTCCATTCGCTATAAAAATATACGCATTCGCGTAAATATCCGCGCTCTCACTATGGAAATGTAAACTGAAATAGACGAATGTTTACGCGTTGTATAATTCAGTACGTTTGTTATAAACGTTGCGTAAATATGGATTATGTCGATCGAAGATTAAAGTAGCATTTCGCTCATTGAGGAGACATTTACGAGCAAGCGGATAGAAGAAAAAAACTATCTCGTTTGCCTATTTTTATTAAAAGGATATTAAGAAAATTGTTGGTAATTGTAGTGGAATTTCATTAGCGGAAAATGTATGTCAATAATTAACGAAACGATAACGAATCATTAATGAGATTTCAATCTTTAAGCGTATTAGAATTAGATATTATGCTCAATAACTATGTTTTATAAGACGATACATCGTGATAACTTGGTGTCGTTTCTTTGTATTATAATTTCAAGTTCACAACTCTGCGATCTACAGAGTGTAGCAAATACCACAACGTTTGTTGCAACTATAATCATATTTATTTCTGAATCGTCAATTTTATTTTTTTATCGTGAAACGAACATCGTTACCAACAGCAAAAGTGTATTTGTCCAAGGTATGACAAATTAGTTGCGAACGATGGTTCTCAAATTAGTTTACTGAACGATATTTAACGAATAACAAGTATTCGAAGATACCACGTTAGAAAATATTATTTATTTATTCTTACGGTTCGATCTATGCTTCGATTACATTTCAAAGTAACGTAACATTCAGAACTAGGCGAGAAGTTCGAAGGAAACACGGTACAAGTGCCGAGATCTTCGATTCGAGAAAATCGTGAATAAAATTAATCTCCAACCGAGGAGATCTCTGTGTGTCTCTAAACATCGAAACGCAAAGATTCGAGGATTTATGCTATGTCCTGCCTACCGTTTGCAGAAAAATACGTCTGTACCGCTTTCGATCCATCCGACGATAGGAGAAACACACGGGTTTAACAACGATGCATTCGTATATTACGTTCAATATCGCAATGTATGGAAATTTCGTTCGTGTTATAGACTGCGAGAGATCGTTAAAATAATCTTTAAGAGTTAACGCATTAAGAGCTTAGGAAACTTAAACTAAATATAATCACGAATACGGTGAAACGCCGCAGGAAAGTTATTGCTGAATGAAAATTGACTTCTAGCTTGATTTAATAATTATCAATTTTTATAAAAAAAAAAAAAAAATGAATGTGCTGATCTATTCGCATAAATTACACGTTTAAAACGCTTGAGACTTGTACATACACAATACACAGGACTGCTATAGAAAGTCATACAAGTAGACCATAATATTGTCCACTAGAAATGTTTTTAATATTTATGTGCAATGTAGAAAAATATATAAGAGTGATACGTTACATTAAATGTATGTTATATCGTATATTAATTGTAATACTATCAGAATATAAGTAAGTACATGATAGGTATAAGAATTTTTATAAAGAATCGTTTGTTGTTGGCTGCAATTTCGTCAGAATTTTTTACCTTGTAAAAATACACGAAGAAAAGTAGGTATATGGGTACTCGGAGAAACGTGTTTTAACAGAAACTTACGAATAAGCTTTTCGAATTAAACGTAATTGAATAAAATAGCTATATATACGCTCGTTCTAAAGACATTAATGTATAAGAGCTGAGACTAAAAATCGAGTCTCTTACGTTCGATCGAAATATATAACATTTCCAGTCGACAATGGTTACCGTTTGTCTCTATACGATGTAACAAAGTCATTCGTAAACCTATTTATCTGGTGATTTATAGCTTACTCTAATACTCTGTGCAACAGATTGAGCAATTTTGAAGTACACGTTGTAAATTGCGACTGGACAAATGCGTTTCGTTGGTTTCGCCTTAATCGATTACAACCGCACTTATCAGAATTAGTGGCAAAAGGTAACTATCGATACACTCGTACGGAATTGTCTGGCAATACGTTAACATTATTGTACGCTGTCGTCACAAGATTTATAACTAAGAGAGGGAAAAGAATGATATTAAATATATATCGTACGTAAAAACAAAACGTCCTCGATTAATACACGATCTACAACTTCTGTACACTTCCTGAGTTTCATTAGAGTTACGTTAATATTATTAGCGAATTTGTACAAGTAGACGAGTAACGAGTATCAATGTTGTCTCTTTTCCTATGATCTGTCGTCTATGTAAAACGGACAAAACTTCGTTAAACGATATATTTTTGTACGAAGAGAATTATATAACTCGTTTCGAAACCGACCTCTTAATCTTGATATTAAAACGTTATCGCACGATGGAAATTTCGTCTAATTAACGCGATTAATTAACGCGACGTTGATTTTTCATTTATTCGACAAATTCTCTTTCTATTATACAAAGATCGTAGAGCTTGGAGATACGACTGACTAATAACTTAATTCGCGTCGAGATTAGGCGGCACCGCTGCGCTTTGTATCGTACTGATGGTCATCTGATTAGGCCATTTCTTCTCATCCTCGTTTTTTCCATTTTGTGACTGCGGAGTTACCTTCGTCACGTCCAACGACCCTTTGTCTTTGTTCTTGAAGAAAATCGCGGCAGCTGCTCCGCTCACGCAAGCGCCGCTTATTATCGTCAGCCACTTCATGAACCTATTTGACACGAACACGTAAATTATTAAACTCGTTACATCGAAACACGATTGAAACGCCATTAGAACAATCCCACGCTTTCTTTTTTTCATCGTCCGTGATCCTGTCGTATCGTTAATATCGTTTGCATGCTGACTACCGGCATACTCTGTGCAATTTCCAGTTAAATCTTAACACTTTGCGGACTGCGGACGCGAATTCGCGTCTTACGTACTTTATGCGCTATCCTACAAACATTTCAACTATTGTTAAATAAAACAGTAAAGAAAAGAAAAGCAATGGATGCTATAATGGAAACGTTGTGAATGTGTTTTTACGTTACACACTTGGATAGTACGAAAACGTTGTCAATATGTTAGATATAATATCAACCATGAAAGTTCGTTCTGTTTTTAAGAAATTTAACGAAACGATAAATTTTGCTCGGTCACCTCACCATCGGGTAAATTGTTTTCAAGCGTATCACGCTGAAAAACGTTACCAGAAGTATCTTTAAACGTGCTCGTTGATTTTTGATAAAATATTACGCTCGTTGAATGCCGCTCCGGAAGCGTTCCGATTTTTGAGGAATTTCACGAAACGATAAATTTTGCTCGGTCACCTCTCCATCGGCCAAATTGTTTTCAAACGTATCACGCTGAAAAACGTTACCAGAAATATCTTTAAACGTGCTCGTTGATTTTTAATAAAATATTACACTCGTTGAACGATGCTCTGATTAATCTATATAACTCGTACTATAAATGATCGTATTATGAATTATAAACGGTTTGTCACTTACTTTGCACTTTCCTAAAACTCTCGTCGAAAGTTACTCACCCGATTATGCTTATCATCTTGAACACCATCTTCAGCTTCGCCAGAAACTCACCGCCGAGCTCTATTCCCTCCTCGACCCAGAAGAATGGAAATAAGCACTCTGGGAAGTTCTTCATTAGCTTGAATTTTTCAACCTTGTTAAGGAACATATTGAACTGTAGCCTCTTGCGTGCAATTAAAGGAGTGGCTGTCATTGGTTCGAAGTCCATGTTAATGCCGTGCTTTTCCTGCAAAAGGAAACAGTGTAAGAAACGTAATACGTATTTTCTTTTTCTTTATCTTTACATACAGTCGCTCGCGAAAGTATTCGTACACTTCTGAAAATCCGTTAAGAATATCTGACGCGCGTTGTAAAGAAGATTTTGAAACTTCATCGACACTGTAACGATAGTCGACCATCGCGCAAACTTCGGCAAAGTTTCAGACGAATCCGAAAATGCACACAGAAGCCACGATATCCGGATATTTCCTGTACAGTTGTCCATATAGCTAGTTAACTATATAGCTATAAAACTACGATTGTCAGCTAGCTCCGGTGTATAACAAATTTAATCGTTTCTGTCTCGATAATGGAAGACGCGAAACACGCAAGTTCGTAGCGCTTTTTACGTGCAACCTGTTCATTCGATAAATAACAAAAGAAGACTCGTTTGAAGATCGTAGAGTAGTACAGTAAATCGTACAGAGAGTATAACACGACCTCGACGCAATACAATTTTTGTTCGACACATTTTTTTCTAACATTCGTGTTTTTCCAGACATTCCAGCGTTTCGAGTTAAACCGGGCGGCACGTTGTACGCTCAGCGATATCGGTAATCAGCGTAGGTCAAAATTAATTAGAGATACGGATTTTTAAAACGAAAATACGTCGACGCTGTCGCTCGTCGAGGATAACGAGAGTAAGAATTACAAATACGTGCTTCGTCGGGATGAAGTCCATCGACCATTTCCAGATATTTTTCCTCCGACCCAAGCAAATGTGGTAGAGAAGCGATAAGTGGCACGCCTACACACTTGGTCAAGTCCATAAGGTTTTTCGTTAGACAATTATCTGGCGCGGGACAAAAACACTTTTCCTCGGGATTTGTGCTCATATCGCCCAAATCAGCCTTGTAGTGGTAAGTGTTGATGCCTGTAAAACGAATTTTCCATTTAGTAATAATAATCGAAAGAAGCGTTTCTGTGCTAATCTACGCGAAAATCTTCGAAACCAGGTGTCCACGATTTTACTCTATGTACTCGACTTGCTTCGTCTCACGTGGATTCACCGCGTTGTCGATCACACTACAATTATCGAGACACCTTGTATTACACGCGGCACACGAAATACTCAAAATAAGACGCATAACGATTTTTCTGCTCGGCTCTTACCCTTTTTCTTTACAAATTTTCCATAGAAACGTACTTGCACGAACATTCGCAGTCTCCTTGCAACTGCACTGCGAGCTTTTACGAATGTTAAGCAACGTGCAAAAGTACAGCATGGCGTTTGTTACGACTAGCGTTTACAAGAAATTTGGAGGTTAATGCGTGCAATGAAATAACCGTACGTTTTTCATCTATGCCTACGTGGAAGACATCCAAGTTATAGTTACTCGTTATAATATTTAATACGCGAAACAACTCTTTCTTTTTTACTTACATTACACCTTTTTAATTCATAGTCGTAAAAATAGAAATTTGAATAAAGATCCGCGGTCTATCTGCAGCTACTTTTACTTGTCAAGGAATTCACCTGCGACTTTGGTCTTGTGGTCGAACCGAGCCGACAAACTTCTACAAATATCCGGCGAGTACGACACGATATCGTCCTGTTCCGTGAGCAACGGCGCGAAGATGGTGGAATCCGTGCCATTGAACTCGTTGCAATGGTCCTCGGTCCAAATGTCCAACTCTGGCTTTCCATTCACCTCGGTCACTTTTCCGACGTCTTTCCAGTACTTCACTCCCCGTAACACTCGTATACGGTCAGGAAGAACTGTACCGTTTTTCTAAAAAAGAAAAAAAAGATCGATCACAGTGTTACAGATTGATGAAACAGTAACAGGATACCAAACATCCTGCAGGCTACAGACAATAGCCACAATAGTGTCCGAAAGCCAGGAGACAACATCATATCTAGAGTCAGAATTCCTCAGCTTACTTGCGAAAGCTTACAAAGCAACGCAACTGACGCAAGATACTTTAGTACTAAATGACAAATTACTGCTCAAATAATGAGAAAGATCGTCGGCGACAAAAAGCAGATTAATAGGCTATCGGTCGGTAAGCATCGGCGACAAAAAGCCGATTAATAGACTATCGGTCGATAAAGTGTTAAGAGTAGAGACGAACGCGTAATAACGAGATACACAGGATAAGCCGCAACCTCGTACACGTTATACGTATGTGTACGTACTGGGCCAAAAAGGGAGAACAGGTAGCGTCCGGGCCCATCGGGTAACAAAGCGTCTTCCCTTTCTTTCAAAACATTGCAGATTGCGCTCGAAGCGAAGTCCTTCCCCGTGCAGTCCAGAGGCACACCATCGAACAGTATCTCCCTTGCTTTTGCTCTTACGAATACAGAACTTGGTTTCTTGAAGATATTGTCCACAGCCTTATCTGCGGATGTGAATTACGAACATTCGTACAATAATGTTTAGTAGAAGATCGAAGAGCGTTCGTAGAAAACACCGTGTAAGTGAGAAGAAACAAATTTTCCAGGAGAAAAAGAAACCTTACGCGTATGCAATGTAGTCTAGGTTCGTGAGAAAGAGGAGCGCGTATCGTCTCTTTGCTGTTATTTGCGAAGAAAATACAATGTTCCTTTCGGTTGGACAGATGGTGTGTAGACAAAAGCCAGGAAACGATCGAGCAATTATTTATCGATGTTTATAGTTAATGTTGTTATTTCTGTATTTAGAGGTAGGATCATAATAGCTATTATTTTATTCTTTGGATAAATCTATCACACCCTTCTGAGCCGAAAAACCTTTATTGCATTTTCTTACATGGACTAGGGATAAAAACAAAAGAACACCTTAAATCTATCGATTAAATCTATCGATTGTGTCTAGAACTATTTTCTAGTTACTATTTATTGTAACTAGCGCGTCTGCATATGGCGAGCGTAAACTCACGTTGTCATTTTCAACGGTTAATTTAGGAAAGGAAATTGCACTTAGATTCTACACCACGGTGTTCTCATTGCAACGTGGAGAACATTCTTCGACGAGTGATGGAATTTTTCAATTTTGACGCTTACGGTGTCTTCTACGACCGCCCTGAACGATGTATGTTAATGTTTCTTGTTTAATACGATCATGGCAATTGCAACGCTCACAGCAATTGTACTAGGTCGTCCGAAAATTTCTTTCGTTTTATGAGGAAATGATAGATGCACAACGTTTTTCCTTTTATATCATTTTATCGAATTATGTATTCAATAGAACAAGCGATATTTAGTATATTATACTAAATACAATAAACTACAACTGGATATCACAACTTATAAAAGGAAAGGAACCTAATACGATATTCGTCACGAGTATTTCGTGGTAAGAGATCGAAATATATATCGAGCAACGATTAGAAATACAAAAACATATATTCTCTTAGAAAAATATTCTACTTGCACCTGGACCTGTAGCTTTCGCTACAATTTTTCGCGAACGCTTCAATTTTGCAACCCTATGCCGGAGAAGCGTGTGTGGAAAGCTTCGCGCGAAAGACATCTGCGGAAAAGTATACAAGCAAACGAAAAGAATGGAGTACACGAGGCGTTAGGCGAATAGATTGATCCGTTCGTTCAAGGAGAAGGTAAGTAACTTATCGTTAGCCATAAGTAAAACGTTTCTCGCGACCCTCTTTCGCTTTTAAATCATCGCGTCGTTTCATTCTTGTGTATTTCTAGCTAAGGCCAAGCCGACCTTTACTTTTGGATCGAAACGAACGAACGTTCGATTTAATGCACGAGACGGAATTTTAAAGACGCCGCTTCCCGTAACAAACGGATCCCCACGCGTTTTCACGCTTTTTATTTACGCGCTACATGTGTTACCCGAAAGCTTTTGGACGTTTCACTGACGCCGTAACGACGCTCAACTATGGCGATTATATCGTGCCAGTAAATTAGAAATATATAAAATACAATTTTTAAAGAGTATGCAAATTTCTCACGGATGATACAAATATTCGAACGAGCGTTCGATTTGTTTGCTTGATTTGTTTGTTATAATAAATAACTCGTTTTTAACGTGGTATTTGTTATAGGCTGAGGATGATCGTTGCTATTTGCTTACTATGAAAACCGAAAACGATCCGATTCGCCTCGACCTACTCTACGTATGTTGACAATATGGTGGATCGTGCGCTGGATCTTCAACGGTTAAGAAAGATATGATCAACACTTACTGAGAATTCCAATTGCAGCTGGTTGTTGTTCAAGAGTAAGTTTGACCATGCTGAGAATAAGAACATGAGGAAAGACCAGCTCCTCCTCGCCGGTCAATGGGCTGCTCAACGACGGATTGTAAAACCAAGTTGCTTTCAAGTTGTACTCTAAACTATCGTCTTCTTCTCGATCGACCATATTTACTTTGTGTTTATATTCGCTGAAGAAGAGACACATTTTTTAATTCGCTGTATTCGGATAAAATTGACCGTATACGCGTGCCATACTCGCGACGATAAATGTACTCGAGCGAATGTCGATTAAATTAACACTAGAACTAGCGATAGTTAACACGAAGCTATTTCTACGAAAACCAGTGAAAACAACTGGTCTTTAAAAAACACGCAATAATAGAATATTTTTATATTTATCGATTTATTACTTTCTCACAGAAAGAATTCCACGTTACGTAGTACATTTTTGGTATTATTAATCCATCCGGAATCCCTAAACGAGGGTTGACACGTTTATAAAATTGTAGAACCAATCATTTCGACTACTGTGGTATTTCTAGTATTAACATGTAGCGATCTAGCGATGGATCCGCAATTTTCCTGATAACCGATATCGTCGTATCAAACGATACGTGGTGAAAATTTGAAAAACGCGTGGCAAGTTGTACGAAACGAGGAACCTGGTTAATTGAGGTTCGATAAACAGATCGCAGGATCTTTTTACGCTTTGACGAGTACCAGTGATTTTCACTGGCATTGGTACAAGTAGCCTCGATACAAAATTATTTCCAGTTTGAATACATAAAAAGGAAAATAAAATTCATTATATTATTCTTTTAGTCATCGTTGCGGAAGTCATTACATCATCGAGAAAAAAAATATAACATGAAGTAGGAATTTTAAAATAAAATTGTAAAATCTGTCAATTTGACTGCTGTGCTAGTTCCAGCGTTAGCATCTAGCGATTTGGCGATCGATACGCAATTTTCCTGATAACCGATATCGTCGTATCGAACGATACGCGATGAAAATTTGAAAAACACGTGGGAAGTTGTACGAAACGAGGAACCTGGTTAATTGAGGTTCGATAAACAGATCGCAGGATCTTTTTACGCTTTGACGAGTACCAGTGATTTTCACTGGCATTGGTACAAGTAGCCTCGATACAAAATTATTTCCAGTTTGAATACATAAAAAGGAAAATAAAATTCATTATATTATTCTTTTAGTCATCGTTGCGGAAGTCATTACATCATCGAGAAAAAAAATATAACATGAAGTAGGAATTTTAAAATAAAATTGTAAAACCATTCGATTTGACTACTGTGCTAGTTCTAGTGTTAATCGACGATTTGTGACAACTAGCAATGTGAGCAAATTCGATACGTACAGTCAGGAAGAAACATAAGTAAACAGTCAGCTTGTGGATTTGTATTTGTTTGTTATATGTCGTCCTATGGGTCGCTCGGAAGATTCGTTCAGATTTTTAAGGAAATTCGGTCGACGCGAAACATCGTATGGAAAAGTTCTTCGCCGAAAAACCTGAGAAGTTCTGGAAGCATGGTATACTCGACTCGTTGCGTGAAAGATGAGAAAACGTTGAACCGAATCCCGCCATACACAATTCGATAAACGTGTGTCGAATCGGAGCGTAAATCGGAACGATCTTTCCAAGCGATCCATAGGACGATATATAACAAATAAAACTTGAGAATGTAACAGTACCGATTCCATTATTGTCCTTGTCCAACTATTCTCAACGACTGTACGTTCTTATAGACCCGAATCGCATCCGATAGCCAAGATTCGCTTTGTAAATTTCGTTAAGTTTCTAACATCGAAGATACGACGATTCTCGTTCGTCGCACCGGTCAAGTATTCTGTCTGTACAAGTTGATTTCGAGCCTCGCGAGTTAATTAAATAATACGACTACTTGTATTAACTCGCGAGCCTCCACTTACAGCTACGTACTTGGAATTTCGAGCAAATCGTAGACCCACGTTAATACACGCTAAGAGATAATACGCGAAGATAGAGATAGATTGCAGAGTTCTGTGTGGCTGAAACGATCCTCGACATACTCACTCGTAGAAAAATGGTCCTACTTCTTCGAGGATTGGCTTCTCGCCTGCTGTAATTTCTGTAGGATTCGTCACGTTGAAAAGGTAGATCTTGAAGTCCAATGGAACAGGAAAGGTGGACCATAACTCGCGCATCTCGGTATCAGGTTTCAACGTTACTTGCTGTCGATCATTTTGTTAATTAATGTCACGTACGAACGAAATACTACCAACTTCTATACGTTCGATGAAAAACTATGTAAGCACACGTGTGTGTAAACTACCACTGATGTACAGAGTGTATCGCGACGTGCGAGACTCGTTTCACGAGCGGACAGAAGGCACGCGATACGATGAGAAAATGTTCGTACGAGCAACGCCTTCTGTCCGACCTTCTTTAAAAATTGTAGCCGTATTCGCGTCTCGATAACCCGCAACTGTTTGCTTCGCCTTTGCGGAAGCTGCTCGTCGAAGTGGCTATCCGCGTTATTCTACGCTGGAATTTTTGAACATCGCCAAATTCTTCGACGAGCTTCGAAACACCGAATTGACTGCGATTTTGAAACATCGTCGTATAGGAGGTGGCACGTTCGTGCGAACTTTCTTCGTCGTATTTCTGCCTCCTGTTACGATGCACGTGTTACGATATATTTTGTACAAACTGCGGATGACTCATTTCGTCGTGGAGATTAGTATCTTTAAAGTCAGCCTTCACAGACGTTGCATCGGAACACACGTTTTATAAAATACCTGTCTTCGCGTTACGTTTACCATATTTCCTAAATATCTCTGAAATTTCGTTCCTCGAGGCGATAGGAAATTCGTTTGCCGGTTGTATGTACTTCTGTTGCAAAGAAGAAAAATCCCCATAATAAATATACATACACGTACGTATAACATCCTGGGGCCTCTGTAGAATTGCTCGAGGGATATTTCAAAAAATTGAGAAATACGACTAGCTCGAATTCACAAAATGTCCAACCTGCGTCACCGTCAGTGATCCGCGACCCGTCGTTCGCGTACAGAACAAAGTGGAAACTTAGTCATTCGATATAATGTTTCGCGTTATCCAATTAAACGACGGATAGACAATTATTACCCGCGGACATAACGTTTTATCACGATTCTTGGCGTGCTACCGTCATGTCATTGACGTTCGTGTGCTACTTTATTCCACGTTGCTTCGCCGAAACTCCTCGTTACTCGGAACAGAAGAGAAATCAGACGGAGAATATTCGTTCCATCGTTTCCCATTTATTCCTCCATGCGGAATCGCCGCTGATTTGTAGCGTATAAAAATACCGGGACACTCTGTATATCGATGTAACAAACAGCAACATGTAACGTTATACGATAATACGATAAACGTATAATATTAATATGTCTATCGTTAACGTTATTATTATGTTCCATTGTATCGTATTGTATCGTAATTCTTTATCCTATCGAGGCTATTGCGTCTGTTACAGTCTTTTCTCGATGAACTAAAAAAGTTGGTGAAAAAGTTTATTGAAATAATTGTTACAGCACCTTACAGTTTATTTGTTCTTTTTATAAAACATTTTTTCTTTAAACCCGTCAAAATGTTTAATTTCGTGCTATTTTCTGCCTTTTTTTTTTAGTTCATCGAGAAGAAAAATATATGATAATTTAATCCTCTTTTGGTTTTTTGTTCCAGTCAAGAATCACGAGGTGGATCTTTCCCACCGATTGAAAACTGCAGCCCATGAAATAGGCTTGGAAAACTGTTCTAACTTCTTTTTCTACTTAAAAAAAAATCTTTTTGTATTCGTTGAGTATATATGAAACCATACCTGAAAATTCAATAACTTGATTTCTTTCTTTCTCTTTAAAAAAAAAAAAAAAAAATAGCAAAAAGATGCTGCTTTGGAACATTCCAATCCAGGACAATCCCTTAATTTATTGCTTCAAGATGAATCTTAATCTCTCATTTGTCTAAATACCGCTATATCCTGGTATAACGCGTTAACGATATTGTACAGATCGGTATGTACATTGACGTTTAATGAGGGAAAAAATTTCAGGAACAACAGTAACGAGAGCCGTGGCAACTGTGACGTGGAAACAACGATACACGCACAACGTGGACAAATTATGTAAAATTAAAAAAATACAGGATCGGGCTAACGAAAAGAAACAAAGGGCAACGACAATTATTCCGAGTGAGATGCGGCTTTGTTCTTGAAACGGCGATGGCAGGTAAAAACTGGACGTGTAATGGTAACGGTGTGTGCGAACGCGTACTTCATAGATAACGTTCGTTCATCGATTGTAATTTCCAACAGAGATAAAAGGGAAGAAAACCGTCATTTAATGTGTACGCGACGAGGGATCACCTGGCAACGTGAAACAATACCAAAGTGTGTTAAAATACGCGTGCAACCGGTGTGTAATTAGTATGATTTACATTATATTGCATATACACTGTATTTACACTATACACCTCGTTGGTAAGTATTGGCTTGGCAACTAAGTGCCAATTTTAATTTTCTCCATACCACCTATTGACAAAATCCGCAATCACTTACGTGCCAAGCCAATAATTACAACGCTTACGAGAACTTAAGTACGTCCTTAGGAAATCAGAAGAATCTTGGACTGTAAATTTTGCTTCCTACAGGTGCGTGAATAATCGGCAGATTGCCAGAGATGCTTGGCCACTACTCACGTTTTTGATCTTCCACTTCAAGAAGGGTGGGAAAACGATCGCACAGAACACAACTCCAAAGGCGAACAGAGAGCCACCGATGATTCCCAGTTTCTTCGGCTTTATCATAGTAACACGCTGCAACAATCACGGTTAGCCATATAAGTCGAGTTTGTCGATGAAACCCTATGGCGATAAGTCGGCCGATGTACGTGGATTAACGTCAATAACGGAAACACAAAATGTAGGCAAAATACAGCGAAACGATAACTATGACGCGTAAGCGAGTAATAAGTTTCCGTTCGAACCTTCGATATACCATAAATATAAACTGAGAAAGTTTGCGAACTCGAGCATGAATAGTTTATATATAGTTGCTATACCACGGCAGAAGCGAAAACACTTGTTCTTCGATCGGCGCTGGTGAAAATGAAGATGAAGAACAGAAAATGACGAAGGAAACGAAGGAAGAAAATTAATGCGACGAAGAAACGAGAACCTGATGTTCGTCAGAACGCGGGAAAGTGAGTAAAAGCGACGAAGGAGAAGAGATCTAGCGTTTCTCGACGCGTGGATCGATCATCTTTGTCGAATAACCATAGGAAACAATAAATAAGTAAATGGCAATGTGATTTTCGTTTCGTAGAGATCGAACTATAGAAAAAGAAGAGAAAAAAGTGACAAAGAAACGCGTGGATTTCGATCGATAGAAAGAAGAATATAAATAAAATACCAACAAAAAGAAAACAAAAGAAAAAGAGAGAAGTTAACGTATTTTTATCGAATGTCGAAGAAACGCGATCTCAAAGACCGATAAAAATTCTAAAAACCCGGTTATTCGATGAAGTTGTGGAAACCTTGTGTCCGGTCGGAGCACGCAGCGTTTCGTGAAGCTTTCGTCCGGTCGTTAAAAACGAAAGTAGACCCAAAAGCGACGAGTACCAGGTAACCTTAACGCCTCGACGAAAGACACGAGCGGCAAAATCATGCGCGAGAGGCTTCAGACGCATTCCTTTGAAAATCTTCGAAAAATCCTCGTCTATCTACTTCGAGCGTCGAACGAATATCGCGAATTTCTATGTATTTTCCAATCTAACGATCGCAAGATTGCTTCGTTATCATCGAACGAACCATCTAACTACGTCTTCTTTCCAACGTTATAAGTATTTTTTTTTTTTTTTTTAGAAACATTCTTCTCCTTTCAGTACGATACTTTTGATTTAAATAGCGTCCTTTAAAAGTAATCCTTTCAGGTTCCTTTCCTTTTCGACGAATCCTTCGTGGATTTAAGTATTATCACTGTTCGACACGACGACGACGAGAGCTTCTCGAGCTTATTCGCACACCTTGTAATGACCGAGCTAGTGGATACGATGTCGACTGGCCGATCGAGAAGAGTACGAGAGGTCGACCGGCTTCCTCGTCCTGTGCCGTTGATCTTCGAGTGTTCGCGTGAACTGACGGTTTCGAGCTTCGTCGTCGAACGACGGCGACACCGGCAAAACGCCCACTCCTGCGTCACCACGTACAACCGATTTTCGCGCTACCTGTGCGAGAGTGGTAGCTGATCAGAGTTCTTTGGTTAAACAGATGTCTATCTCTTCTATCGCCTATTTCTTCTCTTTCTTCTATTTCTCCTTCCATTTTCTCGCACTTGTTTCTCGCTATTCTCTCCTTATCCATACGAACCTACAATATATCGTTCGATCTCATTTTCCTCGCATTCTCCTCTTTCCTAAAGTTCACTCCGGCATACGAAGACTATGGAAAGTATCAGCCGCCTTATTCTCGGACGCGTATCCTCATTTTCCAACCGAGCGCTTTTCCATCGTCTTCTACGCTTCTTTTTCCAATCGGTTTAATCTTCACGAATCTGAAAATCTGCAAATTTTCCTAGTTACGCGAAAGCATACCGATTAGCCATACTAATTAATTAGCGTGTAAATGATATTACAGTTTCGTTTCAACATTGCTCGCGTCTCGTCTCTTCGTTCCTCCACCTGCATTTTTACAAAACACCAGGGGAGCGCTGAAACGGAATAAACGACAGAATAAATGCAACGACCCGTCGATACTCTCTGTAGCCACTGTGCATGCTTTTTTACGACTTTGCTACGTACCGTTTTTTTACGATAATATGGTACAACTTTGGAAACGTAACGGGACAAACATGCAGATTCTCTTGTATTGTAAAGTTTCGCAAAATTTCACGCAAACGAGGATCGGTACAACGGATAATATTATATTAGCGTGGCATCCGTGTCGCACGAAGACGAAAAGATTTTCGTGTTAGTTCTGACATTTTGATTTTGCCTCGTGAAAGAAGTGGAGTTGGTCGATGTACTTCGGATTCTGTTGACGATATTATTTTCGATTTGCGAAGAGGCACGTGGCATAAGGTCGATCGTCAATTACATCGAACGATTTTATCGAACGTTAAAATTACCGATCGTTTCGCTTGGAAATTTTGCGACCTGATTTACGAACGAAGAAAAATTATTCTTTCTCTGTATTTTCTTATGCTGCGTCCAAATCGATTGAAACTGTCCTCCGGCTGTTTCGTCTTCCATACAACAACCAGATATTGTGAAATTAGATATTTTTGCTTAGTTAATGGTCACACGATGTATAAAAGAAAGTCTGCTCGACAGTGGTGTGCATGATCGTAAAAGTAAACGATGAAAACAGAAATACGTTCAACTCGGGGAAAAGTGTGCGATGCTAACAATAGCGTGATATCTTCAAAACATTTTTAAATTATTACGCAACGATGAAATTATTAAGACACGCTTTACGCATCATTCGACAAGATATCGTCTTTCGCGCAATTCATTTTCTGTAAGAAATAAACTACGATCGGATAAGTTAATTGTACGCGTTACGAAACAACGTGTTATATCGTTACACGTAAAACCATTGCTTCGCTTGCGTTTTCACAATTTTATTCTTCGGGTGTGGTTCTTCTCGGGTTCTTTGACAGGTTGACGTTGTTGAAATTGTTAATTTCAAACGAAACATAAAATCGAGTTGACAAATTTCAATCTCTCAACCATCAGTCTCCGAATATCGCTTTCCAACAGATTCCACGTCGAGTCCACAGGGTCGATTTTATAATAAAAAGATTTCTACGGAATAAAAGTTTGAAACTGAAACAATTTTTCTAGTAAAATTGTACGCTTTGTCCTAAACGCAGGTGAGAGATTTAAATTTTCGACTAGTCTGACGTTAGAAAATATTTTACTCGACCAGAGGAATTGCAATTGAAACGTCGCATAAATTCTGTTATAAAATTCATCTAGACTTTCTCTGACATTGGATTCCGTGAAAAATTAAATTTCCCATCGATGTACTGGATTTTAAGCGTATAACGAAACGTGCGATTCTCGTACAACGGAACGACGCTTTTATAGATTTGCACCTGTGCACGACACTACGTTGTTCTTTGGTGTCAAGTGTAACGCCTATCGAGCGTGAAGGTGCAGAAGAATGTATTAAATATGAGCATTCTATAGTTAACTGTTAGTGGAACACGTTGGAATTGCAAAGTTTTACGTGTGCAATTTATAATACAAAACGATGCATATTTACTATGTTTAACCGAACTGTTGTATCTGTTTAATTATTTTATTTTATGCTAATGCCATTCGTGTCGCTCTATTAACGCATATATATACGATATTTTGTCGAATAAATAACGATGAATTTTAATTCTTACTTTCACTATTATTACATTGTATATATATATATGTATATAGCATACAGTAGCTTAATTGCAATTTTAAAGGAATTATTCTTCCACTTATTTCATCGTTCCTTCTTTCTGTTGTTCTATCTGTATTATAATTACGCATAGGATCCTAAACATCGTCGATATATATACAATGTATTTATCGTAATTTTATGTAATTAAACGATACTCGCTTAGAAATGTCTATAAAATCATCTCGGCAATAATTTACGCGAGTCATCTAGTTTTATGACATAAACCAAGTAAATACAATCGTTTGCTGTGTATTAAATTTCAGTTATTAGCAAGCTAAATGACGTCTTCTCGAATCAAGCGCTAGATTAATCTGCATATATTTACGTAAACGTTTGTAAACGTGTTTCGTTACCTATTATTACGTTTGTCACACGCAACGATTCGTTTCATTTCCTTTTCGATACGTTTCAACCGTCTATTTCCATTCTATTCCACCGCGATAAAATCCCTCGGTTTTGCCATACTTCGAAAATAATAATCATGCAAGAACAATAATAATTGTATATCAGATTTTACATTTATCAGACATTGCTTTCCTTGGTGCGTATTTTCTTAATTTAAGGATAGTCGCGACAGCACGAGATCGGATCAAAAACTCGACGTATTATCGAAACTGTTAATTAATTATGCTGTAAAACGTTGGAATTAAATCGCATGAAAAATCGAAGGATTTCTCGCGATTATCTTCCTCGGATCGCGGATCACGCGAGCACTTATTTTTCAGTATTTCAAACTGACAATCTTTTCGTTTCAATGATTCAAGCTTTTTTTTTTTTTGTTTTATAGGAAATGATACGCCAGATCGATCGATGCGTCATAAGCACTTCTGCATAACTCGTCTTTTTTTAATAAAAGTTTCCATCACCTGAACTATAATTACACTTAAAGAGAAACAAATACTATAGAGAATACGTGTTAAGACCATCAAGATTGTTAACGCGAATATCTTCACTAGCTACTAAGACTATCTTCTCTAAAAATGGAACTATGTTTAGGTGATATGCCGCATAACGTATGGTAAAAACTTGAAAAAAATCGCGGGAAGTGAATCTACGCTACAAATATCTTCGAGCAAAGGCACTTCAATTTCTCAGCGATCTGTACATTGGCCAAGAACATATTGGCATAATCCTTTAATCGCCAGTAAGCAAAAGACAAGGCCGAAAACGCCATCTTTTTATTCTTGACTTTTGTCTTATCTCAGCTCCAACGATCAACCCCTGAATCTCTTCTACGCCTCGAACACCCTGTATAGTGTCGTGTCCGCATCGCCTCGTATAGTGCACCTTACGCGGAATTACCTGACCTTTACCGATAGACAGAACGATATATGCGCGTTTTACACGTTTAGGTGTGACTTTACAATGATCCATTTGAATCCTACGTGTAACAAAGTGGCAGCGCCAAGGACGTGCGATTGTATTTTATTAATATCGCTGTCAATTTCTAACGTCATATACACTCTCGTTCGTAAGCGGATATTAAGACGCCTTGTCTTACCAACTGGCATTATTCGGCACGCAATGGTCTTACTACTGTTATCAACGTTTCAGAAGCTCGAGTTAAAAAGATATTACAATGAAAGCGACGATGAATTCATCCCGCGTCTTATACTTAGACGGTTTGAGACGCGAACGGAATACAATTGAACGCAGCTCGATGTATTGAAAATTTCTCTGAACGATTTACCGGTATAAAGCAATATCTATGTAGAATGCGCGAGTAATTGGAAGAATATTACGTCTACGTTGTATTTTGTCGCTTGTCATTGTTTTCGTATTATTCGTTAATTCGTTATTATTCGTTATTATTATTTCGTATACGGATCAATAAGAAATATTCGAGTGCAAGCGACAATAAATTCTTCTCGCGTTTTACATTTAGGCTGACATTTTAGGTTAGGTTAGGCGTTTTACATTTAGGTTTACGACGCATACGGAATACGATTCGACGCAGTTTGATGTATTGGAAATTTCTCAGATTTATCGGTACGAAATATTTATGTAGAGTATTATGTCTACGTTATGTTTTCTTGCTTGTAATTGTTTCCGTATTATTGTTGTTGAAACACGGACTGACAGAAGAATCACATGAAGACGCGCGAAAATTCTCTCGTCCAAACAGTCGCATCTCCAATGTGGCGATCGAGAATACGTAGAAAATGTAGGAAAAAGAAATTTGGTTTGATTATATACGGTTATCGATCGTTAATATAAAATCGGATATATCGACTGTTTACAGTTGAAGGAATAAAAGGAATTAATATATTTCCGTATGGAACCTGCACGAATCTCATTGATAGTTTAGTTAAAATGAATCGTGGATAAACGAACTTTCAAATTACATAACCTACATGTCTTAATACGTTAATAGATGGAAATCGCTTGTTTGACATTTCAACGTGACTAAAGGGTTGATCTATGCAAAATTATCGCGAAAGAAATCCTAGTACAGGAAAGTTTTTAAGCTGTAACTTTCTTCTTCGTGCAAGGTCGCTACAAATCAAGCGAATCATACTTTCTAAGGGAGAACTTTATTAATCCTCGCTCGTACAACTACAAACGTATCAAAAAAGAAAAAAGAAGAAAAAACTGTTAATATAAAAATCCTTAACGGTATTAAATTTCGTTTATGTAACGACAAATAAACGTATTAAAGATTCATCAAGATACAAAAATTGTTGGCAGTGTCAGTGCGTAGTACTATGTACACCATTCACGCAATTCGCTCCTCTAACGTTTTAGCAACAATTACTATACTATTGGAATGGACTAGTGTCAGAAAATTCGGAAGCACGATTAGCCAAAATAACGTTGGAAAAAGTCGTTTAACGCTCAACTGGTCTCGTTAGATTAGAAATGGTCGTAGTAGTTTTACTTGGATCGTTTAATTTTACTTTCTGTTATACGCGCAATACTCGATAAAAATTATCGATAAATTTTTAGCATATAAAATTAAACGATCTAAATGAAATTCTAGCAGCCACTTGTATAATACAACGATATTAGTTAAGACTTGACGCAAGAGCTACCAACGCAGTCAAAACAACTGGTTTGTAATTTAAAAACAAAAATTACTCCAATTTTTCCAAGATTTTCTCCAGTTTTTCTCTACAGATTCTTTATACAGTTTCTTGTATAACTTTCCGTAGCTCCCTTTCATTACAAACTCCAGCAAGTTCGTTTCAAATTTTGTACCAAATACGCTGCTGGTGTGGTAAATTTTTGTCAAAAACCTGTCATTTTTCTCACTTCGGTCGGTGCGTTAACAACTGTCGGTGTATTATTAAGGGTCGATAGAATGGATGCTTAGAAATCGTCGGTGGTAAGACTTAGAGAAACGTACCAGACGACGCGCATTAAACAGAGTTGCCCTCGAAACAGAGTTACTTCTGTGAACGCAATTAAAAAGAGTAGAGACTCGTTTCGCCTGTCACAACTCTCAGAAATACTCTGCTCTGGATATTTTACATATTTTTCCACAATATATCAATTCTGTGCATCCTCGAATGCCCCTAAACATCTACGTACCCCGCAATCTAATTCCAACACGCGAGACGAGAAATGGCCAAAGCGTTAAATCGATGAAACGATGCCAAACCTCTCAACGCTATCGTACACAACCATCGACCGCCAGTAGCTCCAACGTAGAAAATTTTGGTTAACCGACAGAGATATCTCGAAGAAACCCTACTTGAACCATCCATGCGTCTTGTGAGCATGAACAGCAACAGGTACTGGATAAGGTTTGGGAACGTGGTAAGGCACTGCCACGTGAACAGGATAGGGCCTGTCCACGTGGACCACCTTCTCGTACGGAACCGGATACGGTTTGGGTACTGGAACAGGAACGGCTACTGGTCGATCCACTGGCACGTGGATTGGCCTGTCGAACGGTACTGGCACTGGTCTATCGACGTGCACGATCTTCTCCACGTGGACCGGATACGGTTTTGGCACGGGAACAGCCACTGGCACGGGAACAGGACGATCCACAGGAACTGGGACCGCTCGATCGACTGGTACAGGCACCGCCACGTGCTTCGTCACGGGGACTGCGACTGGAACCGGATGCGGCACTGGCTGAGGCACAGCGACTGGAACCGGATGCGGCACTGGCTGAGGCACCGGTACTGGAACTGCGGCTGTTGAAATAAAGAAGAGATTTCAGTCAGAGTTTGGCCAGTTGTTTGGCGTCTTCTTGCGACCAGACGCGATCCAGCTCCGTTTCTGCATTTTGTATATCGGTTGTACTCGCGTTGATATCCGGACACAGCGCTATCTCTATATTCGCTGGTTTGTACGAGAATTGAGGCGGGAACCGAGAACTCAATGCGTCAATGTATTAGCGAATTGAATTAGTAAATTAGATATTTACGCAGATGTGTACGACTCGGTGCATCGTGGTCTTCGGATGTTTCGTTCGTCAGAACGCCATGCGCGCGAATATTTATCCGCGATGACTATGACCTAAGAATGGGATTTAAACACCGTGTAGCGTGTTCCACGAGAGGATGCATTTATCGCAGCTTGAAAATACGCGAATAATTTCTTCCTGACGATTTAGCAATTAATTGTACAATAACAAAATATTTAACGCGCCAAATTGCACCAAGTGTGCTAAATATCGCGCGATCGAATGGAATGGTTACAGAGAGGCAGAGGAAGAAGACGCAGGAAGTCCCTCTCGTCGTCGATTCTAATTCGTATTCGACGTTTAAATTCCATCGCTTGCTCAAAGCCACGTTCTAAACAACGAATGGTGTCACTAATAATCTTTTCTTTCGTAATTTCGACGCACGCTTTTACCGTTGCTCAAGGGCGTTATCAAGAATTTCTCTTTGACGACGGTGTATCCCATTTCGGACATGGACTTAGCAATGGTAATAACGCGATCGAATTTCTTATCATTACGCATACAAGGTAATCGCTTATTGCATCGACGTTTCTCTCACAAATAATCAACGATAAGAGTAAAGGTATAGCGAGCATGACAGTGTACGCGAATTTCTTGCTTCCGCGATATTTTTAGAAAAACTAAGGTGACCATCGGTTTTTCAAACCGAGTACTACATGTCGTTTTGTATCTCGCGAAAGAAATCTCGTCAATAAACATTCAACCGCACATTCAACATGAATATGACAAATAAATTAGATATTTCGTGATATTGTGTCTACCTGTATCGATTATCGTACTTTGTGTTAATTAGTTTCAAATAAATGATTCCTGTATCTTACTCTAATTTCTAATTGATATCGTGATCAGCGTGCCGTTAATTTTCAATATAATTAAAACACAGTAAACTAGTAAGTAAAGTACTAACGAGCTGCGTGCGCTACAGGTAGCGGTGGCGGAGGTGCTACAGGCGCGATCACGGACTCCAAGTGTCCACCCACGTCCGGAAGAGAAGGCTCGAAGACAGGCGCCGGTTCAGGATGACCGTACGAATGATCGGGTACACCGTATTCCAAATTTACGAGTCCTCTCTTGTCGTGTCTCTTCGACGCAACAGGCTTGATCTTCTCGTGCTTATCAACGATAATCGCCGCACTGACCGCCAGGTACAACGACAAGACCTGCGAATGAACGGGATATCGTGTGAATGGTGAACGTAGAACGTAGAAGAAAGAGAAATAAAGAGAAACGTTCTATCCTATTTTACAAACACAATAAGCTCATACTGTTGAAACTTCACTGTTGATGCAAAAATTGTTCAAACCACGCAACAATCCTTCGATCACTTATTCGCAGCTAATTTAACCACCAAGTACTTTATCACCGTCCAAAACGAATTTCGCTGTTTTACGAAAAAGCAACGAAACACAGTGGCGGTAGAAACGAATAAAATTCCAAGAATAATAAAAGTAAATAAACTAAATAGACGAAGGATAAATGAAAGAGAAGAGAGAAGAGAAAAAAACGAACGAAACAATACCAAAATAATCTTCATGATCGATTCTCGAGACGCTCCCTAAATCCTAGCTCGCAACTACGAGGTCGAAGGAAAACTGCGGTTGCTCGCTATCGGTGACCCCCATAAGTATTTATAGGGCATGCACAGGTGACACATCGCAATAGGAAGGAACCATCGTTGTCTTGGTTCGAACTCAATGGACTTTCGCTGCGTCCAATCCTGGGTGATGGCCAAATAGCGGTCGTGACCGCTTTTCTTTCGTTTACGCATAACGAGCATGACTATGTGCATAACACGGGACGAGACGGTATCATCCGTCATTCACATATTAGAACGAACGTGAACAATTTCGCGTGACGAGGTATCCGTCTTCGAGATCGTTCGGATAGCCGAGCGACGGCTAGGTGAAAATTGTCTACGTGAACATTCAAATTAATAAGAATAGCGATGCGCCGAATCGTGACACGGTTCTATAGCAACCTGGTTATGCGGTTGAAGCGTAGTTTCGTGACATTTTTCTTTCATATCCTGGCGGAAGCGTGGCTGCGCTCGTAGACAAAAGGGAATACAAATGTGTGTTTCACGTAAGCGTGAGACGCGCGTTAGAAAAAGACGCTTCACGTTATAGCTGAACGTGCGTATCGTGCAACGATTCGACGAGTTTAGTTCGTAAGAACGAATCGACGATTAACGAGGATAAGTCAAAGAGAGTTACAGCGATGCGAGAACAAGTCGGTTGTAAGGTTCGTTTGTTCAAGGCGTTATCTGCAAGCGAACAAATGAAATTTGAAAATTTGGCGCGATAATTTTTCAATAAGCTTGTTCGTACACAGAACTGTTTTTATTTAATAATTAATTCGGTACCGCGTGAACGGTTAATCGTTGAATATTAACGTTACTAGCGATAAAAGTTAATGAAATAATAAATCACTTGCTTCGTATAAGCGTATCGATACGACTTGAGACCTTGTACTTGACGAACCAACGACTTGCTTGGTTAATTGAAAGTTAATTGAAGTTGTCTAACTTGACCGTCAGGTATTTCGTCATTGTAGGGCTAATACGTACGTACTACAAGCCTGTTATGCGCTCACCGGCGTTCATAACCATGAATAATGGATGAAAGGTAGTGGCCGGCATTAGAAGTAGCTCGTACGTATTAGAAAATGAAAGTTAAGAAAGTTCGCGGATGCGGCCAACGCGGAAACAAACCAGCGACACTGGTGCAAGAAACGGACCAGCCGGTTTCGTTGATCTCGTTGGCCGAGTAAAGGCGACAGCTCCGCGTTACAGAAACCGAAGAATGCTATGCGTTCACCGATTCTAAATCGTGACACGAATTGCGATTCGCTCAACTTCAGCAAGCTTTATGTATTTTTACGACCATACGAAGATCGCGTCGACGAAACGATTTCACGGAGAACATACGCTGCCGCTTATAAGTATTAAAACTTGAAGATCGCAGAGAAATTTTTCTATCGTTCGCGCAGCGGCAATTTCTTCAAACGGAATTTTATTTTCGATAGGCTGTCGATCGATCCTTGTGTCTCTTCGTGTCTCATTAACAGCGTGTTGCGCTTTGTTATGGCGCGACGTTTCGTGGACGTTCCGGTTCACTTTCTCAGGGCAGACCTGCAAAGAGAAAAAGAGAATTACGCGATTGAAAACCGCAGGATCACAAATACTTGATTCGATCATCGTGAAAGTTTAATATCTAAAAAAGTAAATCTAAAGTCTACGATAAATCTTGCGTCGGTCGAAGTGTCTTTTTATTTGATTTTGGCAAACCCCGTGGTCTAGTGATGGACGTTTCAATTCGACGAAACACTTGGAGTAAAGATACGAGATCAGTGCTACGCGTGGCCATCGAATACAGCGTCAACGTGAACCAGATTCGTTATAGTAAGTATTTAACAACTTTCTTCACCGGAAATACAAAACTCGCCAATCAACAAGGTCGAGTTCCTGATCCTATCAAACACGGGAACCTGACTTGGACCATCCGGAACTATCGATCTGTTTACCTCGACAAACGGCGAATATATAAAGCTAACGCTTTTCTCGATTTGACGAACAGTTGCTCCTCAACGAGACCACAATGTCTATGATCTCGGTAAGAAACATAAATCAGCAAGTATCATAAGTAAACCGCGGATATTTAAGCATTAGACGAAATACATAATACATAATATATAACGTATATACATATAGACGTGTCAAAATGTACAGAATACGCGTAATATACAAAAATATATAATATATCTGAAGCGCTTATTGTAATATTTAATGATCTCTAATCTCTAAGTAAATTCCAGTTTCTTAACAACGTCCATCCGCAGTTATATGACAAAATCTTTAATTGGCGATCTATTCGTCGAACTATTGTCTCTGTAAGGCTATGTAATCTGATATATTATATTATATGCACGAGTATTAACTCCTTGGCGCTGGATACGACGCTAATATTTATATTTGATTAAAAAATATAACCTAGATAAGAGATTTGGTTCTCCCGCCGAATATTATAACGAGTATTTCGCATTGAATATTTTATATACAGAATGTAACGAAGTATCGTGATACAACTCTTCGTTTTCGAAAAAATCCACTATGAAATTGCGTTACGTGCGCTTGAAAAGTAACGACAGTCAAGTGGGCGGAATTTCATAGTTGATTTTCTCGAAAACGAAGGCTTGTATCGGCAATCGTCGTCATTCTACATTTTCCACTTACTTTTCCACGGAGAATCACCGCCTTTCGACTCGCACCACCATTTTCGGTACACCCTGTATGTTGTTTATACGTGTAATTTATATAATTCATAATTATATATAATCTAAAATCCTTGCAAACAGAACAGTCAGTCATTTCAATCTGTAAATGCAATTATCTCAAAGAATTGCTGGTTATTCGGAAAATGTTTCAAACAGAACTCGTAATTTAATAGAAGGTAGTAATTTAGTACAATTACCTTTTTCGTACAATCCATTTTACATCATGTAGCATTGAGAGGTGCAATTCGTAATACGTGTACTCGGCACAAAGTTCCAGAAACGTTTCTCGGTCCTCTAATTGTTATTATTAATTTATTTTTTATTAATGATCGATAGTCATTAACGACCACAAATTAAATTATGTAAGTAAGTACAGTCACTACGTGACTCGTTCATATTTTATGTATACGTACCTACAGGTGTCTACGTGTGCGTATAAAGTACGTATAGGTGTTATAACACGTACTACAGTAATTATACAATTAGTGTTGTTGACTACGATGTTTTATCGAATACTGCTTCCATGATGAAACATAGGACTTTGTTATTTTCTTCTGTTCTTTCTAAGCTTCCATATTGTGGCCGTCAAATATTGGCAACAATGTTTAGTACAATTTACTTTAACTCACTTTGCTAACCTCTTTGCTTAAAAAAAGATCAGAAACGTTTGAGACCGATCAGTAAACACAAACACGTCCGATGAATTGTGATTCTTTGATCATTCCTGGATCCGAGCCAAGTACGCTAAGAAATCCGCAACACTGTGTTAAACAAACGTGATAGATTCGTGGTAACAGCGAGCCAACCATTTCCTGTCATTCGACGGTTCAAACAATCAAACTAAAGGTAGACAATGTCAGGATAAAGTTAAAGTTACTAACGAGTCGATAAACTTGGAATCATTTGATTTTTCAATTGGTGAGTTAGATATCTCTAAATGTGTGAGAAGAACTTGCGTTGAAATTGCGTTGTCAAGAAGTGTAAAGATACAAAGCACGGGGAAATGAAAAAGAATTGTATTGACTTTAAACGATTATAAAGTAATTTTGTAAAAACATTGAATTTCAGCTGTTCCTAATACTTTGCTGTGGCTACGCGCTAACTGCAGAAACAAACGATACGAAGCAAAGTAAACGGGGAATACCAGAAGCTGGCGGATGGGTTGGAATACCAAATTCTCATGGGTACGGTCATGGACAACCATGGTTAGGTGATCCAGGTTGGAAAGGGCTCAAATTTCCTCCCTTTAATTTAGCTCACGAAGGGTAATGATATCATAACTTCGTAATTCATATTTTTAACTTTCGATTGGAATCATCTTTGACTTGAAATCTCTAGAATGACGATGCTTACGTTTTGTGATTGATAGATTGCATGGCGGATTATCATACGGTAGAGTACCTGCTATTTCTTTACCAATTGGGGGGGCCAATTTGTTGAAAACGTTTCCGGTATACATAACGAAACACGTGGTTCTGGAAAGACCAGTTCCTGTTCCACAGCCAGTTTACATCGAGAAACCGTATCACGTGCCAGTTCCGATCGAAAAGATCATTCACAGACCGGTCCCGGTTCCCATTCCGATACACGAGGTAAGGAAACATCCCTAAATTCTTTTACCTCGCGTTTCGTTTTCCAAACGATATCGACGATATTTTCGTTCTATATTCGCTTAACAATCTTTTTGAAATCCATATTTTACCCTATATTTTCAAAACGTGATATGAACAAATTTTATTCTATATTTTCGACTTATTCTTACCTCTCCGGTTGTACTACAGTTTCGAAATCACTCTGTATGCTACTATCCAACTAAAGGTTAACCTTTGTAATCCCTCCTAAACGGTCCACATTCCATCTAACTACTTTCATTCACAGAATTTACCTCTCAAAACAGGTAATTCATCTTTGAAATCTACTTATCCATAGGCAGTTCCGGTCCCGGTGGAACGCCCAATTGCAATACCGGTGAAGCACCCCGTGGCGGTGCCAGTACAACAACCGTATCCAGTACCGGTAAAGCAAGCGTTTCCAATACCGGTCCCGGTTCCAGTTCCGATTCCGGTCCATCCAGCTCCGATCCCGCTGATTGGCGCTGGTCCGGTTGGCTCACCGGCATTCGACGGTAGAGGTTATGGCGGTGGTCACTTTTATCCTGTGTTGCATGGCCACGGGCTGCATGGCCATCCGTTGCCCGCGCAGTTCGTTCATGGTTTTGGCGCCGGTTTTGGACACGGTTTCGGCCACGAGTACGGTCACGGCCACGGTTACGACTATCCACATGCGTACGCTGCCGACTTCGGTCATGGACACGAACACAAAAAGCGAAGCAAGAATTGAAGCGCCGATTCTCAAGAGAGAGGCTCTTTAACCCCTTAACTTTTTTCGCGACGAATTTTCTTCCAACGATAAAGGCAATAATAATTTGTACTGTAGTATACATTGAACTAGATAAAACATATCTTTGAAACTGGGATATATAGTCCCAGTCAGTCTTTGAGATGATAGGATGTTTTAATTAACATAATTCAAAAGGGTAGAATGTATTAACATTCGTTTGTTACAATGAACTGAGGCTTGTTAATATATAATTAACTTGGAGGAATTATATATGAAAGTTTAAAAAATAAGTGTTATTGCATTTGTTAAAAGCTCCAAGTTTTGTTAATTTAATATAGTACTTTTAAATAGGTATTCTATGAAAGAGTGAGGACTTGTTGTAGATAATATGTCTCATGTATTTATATACATTGACACGTAATTAAGTAACGATATCGAAGATTATAGTTTATAATTTTAGAATCAAGACAGAACAGTTTTTGTTATAGTTAAGGAAAAATATTTGTCAACTTACTATTCTTTTTTTTTTGTTCTATCCCTCTTGCTTTTCAAAATACACACTGTCGAGGTACACACGCATTTAACATTTAAGTACAATGTAGTACCAATAATTTTGTATATTACAATGATTTTATATGATAATTATGTAAAGATACAAATACCGATGTTAAAAATATATTAATTTCTCGTACGTGTTCTAATAAATCTCCGAGCCCTCCTTATGCCTCCTCTATATCTACATACAGTCTCATACATGGCTTATTCCTGTGACAGCGTCTCTCAACTATACGTTCTACGCGTATAAGGTACGCGGAGTTGTATATTGTGTTTCAATATAACAATAAAATTTCATTACTAGAAATAATTAATCAGATTATACGTAAACAGCAGAAATTTTCGACATAATCGTAACAGGTATTTCAAGTAGTCTTTCTTTACCTCGAATAAATGTCATAAAACACAAGAAATTCGACCAAGAGAAGTTGAGAGATACTTTTCGTGTCACCATCGGCAGGTCATCGGTTGGACGCGAACTGAGACGTCCTGTCAATTTTGTGTAATCAGAAAACAGCTGATCAAAGTTATTCAAGTGTGAATAATAATGAGAACTCCGAGACTTACGAGTTTCGCGTGGAATTTTGGAAATTAAATGACGAATCCACGTTATGGTACATACTTTTTTTGTCCGTCTTTTGATACGTCTTTAAAGAATTCCACGCAGATACAAATCGATGTTTGCACCGCAAAGAGCGTCGTGAGGAGGGGCCACGTTAAATGTTCACATGTAAGTACAATTTGTTTACTTGATCATTAACAACGACTGTTTAAAGACTTGATTTAATCATCGTTCATTTACGATTGAGCTGTTTAAAAGTGAAAGATGCGGTGCATAAAATGGAAGCTGAGGTTATGTTTCATCTTTGAGAACTCTTCGTGTAAACAGTTTATTAGCAGAGTAATGTCTAATTTTATGTGTTGCAGTAATTAAGTACAAATCGTAGGATTTTTACAAACGCAAAATGCTAACGCTGGAGGATTCAGAATGCAAAGATTTTTCAAAAACCGCAATAGGAAATGAAGAAACTAACGAGAGAAGAAACGATGGAGAAAGCTATGAAAAAGATAAATATCCAATATCGAATGGAGAAATATTAAGAACAGCGCTCCTTTCCGCGGAAGATGATGACGATGACATTGGATCACAAGAAGACGACGTATCCTCTGAACTTTTGTCCATTGAAAATGATTCAGAAGTCACTAGTGAATCCACTGTCAGTGACTGGGATGACTTGAGACCGGATTCACCTGTGTCGTATGTTACTTCTGTACCTAATAATAAAGAGTTTATAATAATAACGCAGTTGGAATCGGACAATGCATTAATGACAAAGAAATTAAATAATGAACGTTCTTTGGCTAACAAAAAGTCTAAATCTCGACATCGCTCTAAGCGACATAATAAAATGTTATTGTTGAGAAAACTGATACCGAAGCATGAACCAATAGTTGAAATAAAAGAGGAAGAACATTCAATCATTTCTACCGACGTAGACGAACGTGTGCCAGCCATGGAAGAAATAGATTACGAAGAGTCTTCTATGGATCAGCAAAATATTCTAGATTCCAAAGATAATGCTGGCTGGTTACAAAGCTTCAGACCTTTGCCGTTATATTATACTGAAAGAGGTAAACCTTATTTAAAATGTCCAGCGTGTGGTGCAATGTTTTTCACTTCAAACTCATTCCAAAAACACTTATACTCACATGTGTACAAGGAAGATGATACTTTTGTATGTTCCTTTTGTAATTACACAAATACAGAGCCTGGCATGTTATTTAATCATCTATCTAAACATCAAGACCAATGTGAGTTTTGTAACGAAAACTTAATGCGTAAAAATAATTTCGAGAAACATTGGGACATACGAGCATCGAACTTCACTATGAAAAGAGATCATCGAGGAAGATTCGTATGTACTCTCTGCAAACTAGTATTTGATTTGTTACCACAGTTAGAAAAGCATTGGTTTAAGCATACATGTAAAAGAGAAAGAACTTATCAATGTAAGGAATGTAGTGGATTATACGAAAGCAGAGAGACCCTAAATAATCATAAATGCATGAAGTGTCCTGTTTGTGGTAAAGTTTATGATAGTTTGCATCGATTAAAAGCGCATACAATGTGGACAAAGCATAACTTAAAGTGTCCAATTTGTTCTTACGAATTTATTCTCGCTATGGACCATGAAAAGCATTTAGCGTTGCATAGACAAACATATAGTTCTATGAAAGATTACGAGTACTGCTTACAGGCAACAGATGGCAAGACATTCCAGTGCAATCTTTGTGACAAAATATTTTATGCCTTACCTTCTTTAGTCTTGCATCTTCAAGAAGATCACGATATAGTAAATGTCAAGAAGGAAGCAAAAGATGATTGCAATGAAGAGCAAAAGGAAGAGTCAGTCAGAGATATGATACTCCGCGAATTAAGAAACGAGTCTGCAAATTATACTAGTGGAAATAATAATGTATCCTTAGCAAACAATAAAATCGGACTGCAGAACGCGCTATAAGTATAAATTGCAACTTTTAGATGACGGATATAAAAGTAAGTCGTACAAGGTCTGAAGACGATTGCTAAAAATTATTCGTAATAATGAAACGTGCCGTTGCTATAAGTCACTTTGTAGTATATATTAAACACAATTAAATACGACTGGCAACAAATAATTTATAAATTATCGATAAATGCATTCGATCATATCTGATCAAAAAGTTCTGAAATAAACTCGCCTCTCTTTCTCTCGAGAATAAACATATATCTGTATATTTTTTTAGCAATCATGTAAAATACAGAATCATCACACTCACCTCTACTCGACATACTCATATGATCGCAAAGTAAATGATATTACTTTAAAAACTATAATTAAGAACCTCATGTAACTCCTCCGATAATATATTGAACTTTTTGGATCAGATAGTAAACGTAATTTTTTAGCAATTTATTAAAGTAATGTAATCACGTCGTGAATTTTCTATGTTTTGTATTAGAAGAGAAATGTAACGTTAAGTTATCGTGACATTTGCATTTGGCTGTATCATGTCTGCCCCGATGTATTGAAAAAAGCAATACACAGAGCTATCAGTCCTGCTGTAGCGATCTCTAATTAATTATTATTCTACCTTATTATCCTTTGTTATACGCGATTGAACTGGTTTATATATAGCGTTTATTTAAATACATTGATATATTTTTTTTCATATATGTATGTATAGTTACCATTCATATAAGCGTACTGCCTTCAATTGTATCTTAAATATAAACGCATAAAATCTCGGGGGTAAACATGATACAATACAACTTTTAATGGCTGAGAAGTATCTGGAACTCGCTGTTTGTCTTACTTTTATGCGTACTATTAGAATTCGATACAATTATCGACAAATCTTACGGTGTATTAATCGTTTGTAAGTCTGAATTTTGTAGGCCTGTGTAACACCGCACAATAGCTTACATAAAGAATTAGATCTCTTAACTATCTCCTTTGAAAAATAAATATCCATGAATAGTAACATTTCGTTTGTACATGTTATTTTTCTTTCTTTCTTTTTTTTCTTTCTTTCTCTCTCTCTCTTTCTTTCTTTATCAAAGCTAAATTAAGAGTATTATATTTGTAATTTCTTGTGATCAGAGATCAGAGTTCGATCAGCACATAGATGAAAAGTTATATTTCGATAAGGAAACATCGATATTATTTTTAAAAACGACGTTATACTGACGAAGCTCTCATCTCTCGAAAGCAAGACTTACGTTATTGTGGAACATGCAATTATTTTGCACTGTATACTTGTTAATACACATAGATATATAGTTTGTTCAATTTTTTATATAGTTTAATGTATTTTACACCATTTGCTCCCTTTTCTATCTATCCTTCGTCGTTTTGCACGTTATTATATATATTATATACGTTCGGTCATTCGTCAAATGATGTGTTAAATTATCCATCATTTCGGAACTACAATTAAATCAGATCCATAGAAATTATATTCCATTGTAAGATTCATATTTAAATAAAAATAAAGATTTCATTTCATCGATAGAAATTAAAATTCAGATTCTTAAGCTTTGATCCATTGTTGCACGTATTCGAGCGCGCCTTGAAGAATTCTCTTCTCCGTTACCCTTAATTGAATGGCTAACTTCTTAATTCGAGGCAACGTGGTCTCGAGTAATTGCAGATCCTCCTATAAAAAGGGGAAAAAGAGGGAACGCGTTAAAACAGAAAGAATTGCAATTTTCATGCCGCCACAGCGGTCGCCTAGTATTTCAAACTGATGTCTTATTTCACTTTCACCTTCAAAGTCGTCGGGTAATTAGCAATTAACAGCTGCAGCCTAGTAAGTAGAAATTTTTTGACATTCTCCTCGACAACAGTTTCCAGTGCGCAGTCCATGTGCTTCAAATCGTTAACGCGATCCGACTGGATCCAATGCGCCAGTTCCTCTTTACGCATACTGAATACTCTAAGAAACGCCAACAGCGTATCCGAGATCGGTTCCGTTCCTGGTTTCAATAGAAATTCCCCAACCGCTGGCAGATCTAACTTATTTAACAGTTCCACGCGTTCCTTTTGGAGAGGATCAGCTTTGCTGATCCCAAGCCGTAATTTGAAGCCATCCTGCAAGAATAAAAACATAAATATTATTTACTTAATCTCTTGAGCAAGAAATAAATGCAAAATGTTTCTTTCTCTATGAGTAAATTATTTGCTTATTAGTCGGTGAAATTGTCTCTATTATATCCATTCATTATGCGTGGTATAAATAATATATTATGTTGTTATTTCTTGTAATATAATATTATTTTAATTGATATAATTACGTTTGCTCTATGCAAGACATAATAAATAAAGCCGTGAAAAGAAGCTAGTATTTTGAGAAACCTAATAAATAATAAAGAAATAATTTAAAAAGGCTATTCGTTAAAAAATTTGCCAATTATAGTACGGGCATATAGGATTTGCAACATCGTAGAACGATGATAATTAAGGTAATTTTGAACGATAGTAGACACGTACCTGTTCGTTGTCCATATAAACAAATCCCGAGTGTACAAAGAAATCGGAATTCGTTCTGGCCCCGTAGCTAATAAATATTTGCTCTGCTTTCTTGAAATCTCTC